CTACCAAGCACGAGAACCCATTAGCATAAAGAACCACCAACATAGAAGAACAGAAAAAAACAAGACACGGGTCTCCCCTCCTCCTGTCCGTGAAAGCTCAAGGAGAAAGAAAAAAGGATCTCGAAACGTACCGTTCATGAGAAATACCTCCCTCCGCAACACCAGCCACGTTCTTCACATTCTTGCCCTTGAACGCCGTCGCGCTCTTGCTTGTGTCTTCGGAACTCGTCTGCATGCGCAAGCTGGCCGTTAGGACGAATTGGCCGACGGCGGCGCAGAAGCCACTAAGGAAAGCGTTGAAGGGCTGTTGGATTATATGTTAGCGGTTTTATTTCTTTCGGGGATTGTTTGGGTTGTAGGCCGGATCTCATTCTCGAGGTTGAGTGATAGGTATCCATTGGAGATGGATGGAAAGAAGGTAGGTGGTAGGTAGGTGAGCAACGTACGTAGTTTCCAGCCAAAACACAGTACACGAATTGAATGACACCGATCAGGACGAGGAAGGCCATGAAGGCATCGAGAAGGAGGGTGCGCTGCGGCGTCGTCGCGACATACTGTTGCCAGACATGGTGGGCGATGTCGATGACGGAGGAGTTGCTGGTGAGGGTCTTGGGGCCGGAAGAGAGGGAGGTCGGCGTGGTAGGGGTGGCCGGGGAGCGTTTTTGCGGCATGGTGAGATCGAAAGAGCACCGAGGTTCGACTGGAGAAAGTCAATTGATGGCGAGGGCGTGAGGGGAGTGCTTGTGCTTGGTCGGGGATGGCGGGTGAAGGTGCGGAGTGGATGAAGCTACTGTGTACTCAGGCCGCTCCGGCCGCGGAGGACGATCACGTGATGGGAGCCGGCGTTAGAGGGTTTCCTGCCAAAGTTTTGTATTTGTATTGTCCTAGGTATAGATTCAGATGGAAGAGATATTTATGGAATAAATTTATGTATTTCAAATATTATATTACAGGAGTTGAGTCGTTCGCGGTCATGCTATTGTGCCTAAGATCGCATAAACCATGCTGCCATATCAGTAGGTCACAAAGCACAAGTAACCCGTGTATCGTACATCATACTTCGTAAACAGTGGAGAGTAGTCCATGTGAGAGGAGTATCATTGTTTGAAAGAGAGGAGTGTCAAGTAGTCCAAATATTAGCTCCGGGGAATCATGAATATATGCAATTACACAACCTTGTGCGAAAGATGGCCGCCAGGGCATCTTGATGCCGGTGTCACCAGCGAGCGAAGAGAAACAAAACACAGTCGAAACCCAAATCAAATCACATAAACCAGTCAGACACATGGGCTGGAAAGTTGCCGTTAGGATTCGTTGTATGTGCCTGTTGCAGATCCATGTGGAAGTCGCGCATAACTTGATCCCACTCATCCCAGTTCAGCTGTGGGGAAGACAGGTCTCCTTGTGGCGCCAACGGTACCATGGAAGATTGGTCTGGAAGAGTCATTGTCGGATCCAGGCTCGGGTTCGGGTTGAAGGATAGCGACTGCTCCGAAGGACTCTGAGAAGTAGGAACAGCAAGCCAGTCCACGCCAGGAAACATGCCACTGATGGCATCCAAGGGCCCGCCACGGAGATCAATATTAGGTTCTGTGTCGGGTTGGTTGTTGGAGTCCATTCCGTATAGAGCTTCAAGCTCCGACAGTTGGGGCAACACGGGCGGAGGTACGATTTCCTGTCCTTGAGAGGTGCGTGGCGCGGTAGTATTTGAGGCGCTTGGGAAGGGATCGCCACGAAGCCGCATCTCCTCCTTTTTCTTCTCACGGCAAGCACTCGCTCGTTTCATCAATCGAGCCAGAGGGCGCCACAGCATTCCTTTTCTTTGCTTTGCGGTGAGCATCCAATCTCCGTAGAGCGAACTGACCGCGTTCCATGCCCGGTCTGTTAGAGGATTGATAGGGCGGACGCAAATCTCGGACAGAACAAAAGCGATGGATTGCCATTGCATGTTGGTCGCAAATAGCCAATTCCACTTGTGAGTGTTTTTGTCTGCCGCCAAAAGACGAGAAAACTCGGCCACCTGGACCGAGGTAACGAACAAGCTCTCACGGGAGTCATTGGTCAGGTTAATCCCTTGATATGGTCTTGTCATTGGATGATGAACCACCAGCCAGAGCTTCGTCAGGATGAGACGCCCGACTGTCGCACATACCCATTGAATCGGAATACTCATATCACAATGTTTCAGGTATTGTTCCTCAATGCGGTCATTGACGGCCTTGATCAATTTCCCACACAATTCCGGGGAGGGCTGTCGAGGTGGACCCGGGAAATTGTTATTCGGGCAGGTATAGCTCACTCGTCGAAGGGCGACGGTGATGTCACATCGGATCAAGCAGAAACTCATGTCGGTATAGCCGATCCTCTCTTTGGGCGGTTCCAGCATACCGGGAGTAATGTCCTCATCATTGATGTTCAAGGGTAGTCGAGTATCGTAGATTCTCTCATGAATCTGGGCATCCGTTCCATGGTCCTCGGATGACCGAATGTCCAATAAGCAGATATGCCACCACAGTCGCCGTCGCATTTCAGTATCGAAGGGCTTCAGCCCAAAATTAGTGCCGTCTCGGTGTATGCCCAGTCCTTGCGCAAGACGAAGAACGAGAGCAGTCATAGACCAAACGAATTTGGTGTCATCCTCTCGGCGGACGGCGATCAAAAAGATCACAACGGCCTGTAAAACCATGATGTGTTGGGTATTTAGGAAGTTTGCTTTGGCAAGAGCCTGTTCCACCGCGAATCGATAACGGCCCACGAGAACCTCTCGCTCTTCGCCAAATTTAGCCCGGCATTCTTCGGTGGAGAGACTGATGATCGAGACAAAGTACATGGCAAGTATTAGCGCCTCGGAGTTTTTGTCCAACGACTCGGGTTTCTGAGCTGCACTAGCAAATAGCTGCTTGACCGTAGGTTTATGCATGATAGGCACTAGCGGCGCCACGTTCTCCAAATAAATATCCCACAGCATCGAGACCTTTGCGGGCGGAGGGTGGAAGCTGCGAAGGGATTGCGAAAGGGAATAAAAGCCGAACAAGAAGCCCTCATGGTTGCCGGACAGCGTCGACGACGACTCTGGCGATGGATAGTCTTCTTCGTCAGAAGACGACGGGTCTAGGATATCCTGCAGTTCCTCCACCTGATATCATGTTAGCACGCGCGATGTGATCAACAACCGACGACGCTAAGGCCATAGTTCTGCGGGAAAACCCACCTCGTCTCCAAGACTTGCCCACAATCGATTGCTCACATATCGACTGCGCCCTTCTTCAATCACCAAGCGGCCGAACTCATGCTCTAGATTCCGCCGTTTGGGGGGTTTCCGAGGGTCCATATTGGCGAACGGGCAGTTTTCGGCATCCGCAGATTGAGATGGTTCAGTAGGGGTGGGCTCCTTCTGTTGCGACTGTTGCGGAGGGGAGGGCGTATTCGGAGCCCCCGCGTTCTTCTCGCTCAGATGCTCGATAACGCCTTCGAGGCGCTTCAAGCGCGACAGCAGCTCGGCATCCTGCGGTCGCTTCGACTTGCGCGACGCTCGACCGGGCGGAGGAAAGATACATTCGATGCCGGCCCTCGTGCAATTCGAACATGGACATCGCTTGTTGCAACGGACCTTCCTTCGACGACAGGTCACACAGCTTCGCAGACCCTGAGAATCTGGTAAGCTATGTGCGACAGACGGAGCATTCTCGGGGCCCTCTGCGGCGGGGAATGACGACAAAGAGGCGGTGGGATTGTTCATCGGCGGGGTGGATTCCGTGGGGAAGGACATGATGAGGGGAAAGTATAGACGGATGTAACATGCACGCCCTTTCTACATCATTTTCATGCGGTTGGACGGAGGTTCTGCAGAGGCGGGAGAGCACAGCGACGGAGCAGAAAGAATAGGAGAGGGAAAATCCGATAGGAAAAAACACATGGAGATTGTCAGCGTCAGGCAAAAACGATGGATCGTCAGTCATCGACTCATTGTGGGTCTGGCCCCCGGTCGACGCTTGGCGCCCTCGTAATCTTACTAATGCCTTCTTGTGCTTGTCCCTTCTTCCATGGAGCGACCGTGGAAGCACGTTGGTGGGGATCATACTCCGTATGATAAATTGATAATAGATCGTCGGGGTATAAACTAGGTATAGCTTCACAGCCACTGCCTACTCCCTACTCCGTACGGAAGATTGCTACTCCCTCACGGCGTACTACCGAGTCAGGGTCTACGAGTACAGTACTCCGCTTAAGACACTCAGGTACCGCTATGCTGGATCCGGTAGATGCTGGAACTTCCTCTGTAGGTGACTAGGTGTTTATACTTTCCTCCCATGATACGCCTCGGGGAAGACGGCTTTGTGACGTCACCGTGTCTTACAGTGAGTCAACTCTAACACGGCAAGGCACGGGATCTACTCAAGAGTAGAGTTCCATGAATTCCATGGGTTCTCTTCTAGTCCGACGTACGGAGTAAGTTAGCGCCGTCAGCACTAGTTTCCTAAGCCGATGCTGATGCTTCGGTGCCTAATTCGGGCTATGCTTGCTGAATCCGGATAACATTGAGCTCACTCAAATATCCATACATTAAGAACTTGTCGACCTGTTCAAGAACCATATATGTACATGTATATTGCTCTCCGTAGAGAATTCTAGTATTGACACGGGCCCCCAGTCACACCTCAATGCAATCAATACACACGGGGCCCGGAAGTGGTCAACCCCGTCCTTCAATCCCACCAGCTTTTAAACCAGAAAATGAGAGAAAAGAAGAAAACCAACATTAGGCGACCGAGACAAACCGATGAGAAAATATATATTCCAGAAAAATCGAAAAGCCAATCACAACCAATATCCGGAGGGTGATGCAGAGCAGAATCAAAACAAACGCCTGGTATATGCAAGAGATGTTGCTAGATCCAATCCTGGCTCACATCATTATTATCATGAGTGTAGGTAAAGAGACCCGAGAGTTAGTTATATGTAGTACAGGACGCGACGGGAAGTAAGGAATTGTCGCGCAATCATCTGAGTCGGGGTCCGAGGGGGGAGGTTCGAACGGGAATGCCAGCCTTCCGTTGCGGAACGGAGTCCCGCTTGGATTTTTTGTCCCTAAATCATTGTATGAGCAAGGCAACCACATTGGAATGCGTAGAACGGACACTTACTCGTTTTTATCCCAAACCAGCGTTTCTTCATTGAAGGTATGACTGCAGGGAAACGACATTAGTGATTGCGACCACAACCGGTGAGAAGAGAGGCCAGAACATACCCTTGGAAGTTGGTGACCGTCAGGGCCTTGTTGCCGTACTCCTCGATGAGCAGTTTGGTGTAGTCGTACGGGATCTTGACGGGGAAGTCCTCGAAATGACTGTTGCGGAGAGGGAAGATCTCGTTTTCCTGGAGGCCGGGAAGTCAGCGCGCCTGCTGTGCGACATAGGTGCTAGCCACTTACGTCGAAGCGATGGCCGTCCTTGCACATCAAAGCCGTCACGTCGCCCTTTTCCACGGCGGCATCATCCTTGCGCACTGCCGTGATGTCGATGAAGAGGCCGGACGACATATCGATCCATCGCGCATCAATCACGTTCGCCTTGTCGTTGGTCGACCGGATGACGTAGAATGGGTTGATTTCGAGCAGATAAGACCGTCCGCCCTCGACGCCAGGAATGTCGAAATGATGCTCGGTCATGTTGTAGTACTGGTCAAGAAAGCGGATCGTAGGTTCCGTGATCTGAACGTCGATATCGTTGTCCCACGGGAAGATCTAGGCAACCGTCAGCCGACAACACGTGAAATTCATGGCGCTTGGCAAGCTCAACCTTTTGGTTCCACCACCACGCCAGCATTGTGCCGTGCATTATCCATGTTTCTGCTCCCAGGTCGGCCATGGTTGACAAGTACGTTCGGATGAGCTCCGACAGATGAGGGATGGTTTCTTCCGCGGGAAGAGTCTCGTTCGCAAACCTTGGATTTTCGTCAGCGATCAAACTCAATGACCACCACCAAACCGGTTTATCGGAAGGGAAGGCGAAAAAGTCTTACCGTCCATCGTAATGATAGTGGAAACTATCGCAGGTGAGGGTTAGTAAAGGTGCCGGGAGAGCATGACAGCGTCGCGGTGTTGGCAAACGTACCTAGATTCCCCTAAACACCGGTTAGAATCCCAACGCATCAAAGCGGCATAGCGGGATGGAAGCACTCACGGAAGTATTTTTTATTAGGGATGTCGCCCCCTTGGCCGGTATAATCTTTCACCACTTCGTTCCTCACGCTCTGGAAAGTGACATCGGCGCTCGTGGCAGGTTGGGCGACGGCGAACAGCAACGTGCTGACGGAGAGGAGGATTCGGGACGGCGACGTCCACATTGCAGCGGATACAAGGTATAGTTTGCTATTATAATTCTATTAATATTCCGTGGTCTAATTCAACGACTCGGCGACCGCATGCTCCGAGTCGAGGTTGCACAAGAAAGCAAATAGAGCCGGCGGTGGTGATACGTGACAGGGCGGAAACCAGGCAAGGATGGTGGATGCGCGCACAAGGGGGAGAGGGAGGGATGAAGGGGAGAAGTTCAATAATGGGAGACCGGGGAGAATTACGGAGTATGGGGAGAAAATCAGGCGTCGGAGGTCAGAGCGCCAATGAATGGAATTTCCAATAGAACCAAGTTAGGAAGAAAAAAAAAAGAATGTGTAAGTATAAAGGGGGAAAGAATAGTTGTCTAAAATGGAGGAGTCTAACGCAGGAGGGAGGAAGTAGAAGAAAGAACAGCACTTTTTGAAAAAGGTTGCAGGATAGACAGAGAGAAGAGAGAGAGGGAGAGAGAGAGAGACGGGGATCGGCAGCGACAGGCGGTTCCAGGAGACACACGACTTTTTCAATTATTTTATTATTGTCGCGTGCTCAGTTACCGCCAGCCTGTGAGTTGGTGGCAAGCGGCCACTGACGACCAGCCTTGTGGGCCTTGGCAAGGAGATTTCGGTGCCGATCGGGGCGACATTCTATGCCAATGTTCATTCTACCTGAGCAGGGTACAGCCGCACTCCTATCTGAATGTAGCTGGACTGCTGACGATAGACTGCCCTCATTCGTTCGTCCCTCAACACGGACCCTTCGAACCGGGAAAACAAGGCTATTCGACCCCAATAGGGTGCGTGCGGATGTACAATACTGTGCACAATTCAGAAGTTCGAGAAGGTCCTGATTTCAAGAACTCTCTGCAAATGCCAGTGCCGAAGTCGTCTCCTTTTTATAACTGCACCCACAGAGGACTAATAATCATCACACTGGATTATCAACGTGATACTCGAACTAGTCCAGCATGGCCACAAGGAAGAAATGGAGTTGGGGGCCGCGTCATAAACCACGACTTAGCGGTTCATAAAGGGGCCAAGCCCCCAATCACCGTGGCCGTGTCTCAACAAATAATCTCATAATAGATGAGATCCGGCCTCCAATGTACCGTCTAGGACCCGGTCCTCCTGCAAAGCACAGTGACTACAAACGGTGTTGTACTCCATGCATATTCCTCCGAACGCTCTATCCCTGGCGCAGCATAAATGAGCAATCCGGACCTCCGTATGCCCTGCCCCTACGGGAGTGACGGATGCACCAGGACTGAAGTGGAGACTGGGGTGGACTCCACTAGGCAAAAAGTAGAAAAAAAAAGAAAAGAAAAAGAAAAAAGTTTCTAATTAGCCCAAGCTAACGAGCGGGTTGATTCTCGTTTCAGACTGTCAGCGTTCAGGGCAGATCGTTCGTATTCCATGATCCACCGTAAATCAGCTTTCAGGGGACCCTACGGAGACGGACAGACTGGATCGTCCACCCATGCAAATCCCAGATTTATGTAGGATTGTAGGTAGGGTTTTACTAGGGCAACGGTCAGGCAAAGGCAAGGTGACAGAGTTACTCGCGATCTGCCCTGGACATTTCTAGTCCCATTCGGATGCCGGAATTATCAATCCCCCAGTCTAACGAGGCAGTCATTGACATCATGTCCCTGTCTATCACTGATTCTGACGATCTGACCACATAACTTAGTATTACTCCGAAATAGGTTAACTAACTTAACTGAAGGATGACTTATGTAAGACTTATGTCTAGCTGACCGTGAATGACGCGAAAGAGTGAGATTTCCTCATTCCTGGTTTCAGGCCCCTGGCTGCTTTTTCAAGTGCCGCATCCCATGTCGAGTCTCGAGTCTCAACCGTTACAGTAAAAGCGGTACTAATCTTATCCTCCCCAATCTGGTTGGTCCGATTCTGTGGATTCGCTAGCGATCGACCCAGTTCTATTATCTGACATGCCCTGTGTTAAAATAATAATAAGATCTCATCAACGTTTGCTGTCCTCGCCATCGGAGTAAGGCCGATATCTAAGAAGTTTGTTGTTGCGGTAACGGCCACGTGCCCATCTTTACCCCAACGCCAGAGACACATCTTGGAATGGCTTGGAATGCCTTGGACTTTGAAGTTTGGAGTGTTTGAACTCCTGATACGAAGTGCCCGGTCTCTATTTTCGACCGGATTCGGTTAGTCCCCCTCCCCGAAGAGTGTGACCATCAATGAAGCCTCTTTACGGTGTGAATGATGTATTGTATATACACCGTACTGTTATGGCCATGCTCTTGACAAGAACGGCATGATTGACTGGAAATGTGGCAATGGGCGCATTGCTGTCAAGCATCTTGGCCAAACACTCCCAATGATTTAGATTTAACTTTTCTATGAATAGATCCCGGTCAATGCTTTCCTGTACATTCATGATGCAGGATCAGTGCCCACCGGTGTTCTCCCTGAGTTCATTTCTCATAACATTCAAAAGCGTTCTAAGCTAATACTTACTCCAACTCATCTCAAATTCCGCTTATACATGCAAGTGCGTGATTCAGGAAGTACTCCGCTCTCAGCTCTAGGCTCCTCAAAGCAGCCCAAACGCATACACCCTAGACTCCAAATCCTACTAGACCCTTCGCATTTGATTCAAAGGACAGCATAAATCACGAGTATTCCACCTTTTCTCCGAGACATTACGCTATGGGAATCGCACCTAAACAATGTTTCTCGTGTTCACCTGCTCGCTTAGACAGAAACGGGAAGGTCTCCAAAATGCCCCCGCGGGCCGCTTGGGAAGGACCGATTCAATGCAAGCCACCAGACTCTCTAACACTCTACCCCCTTGGATCTACATTCTTTTCTTAGAAATAACCATCAGACTTGCAAGATCTACCACGTGTTGTGTGCATGACTTTTGGGGCGGTTTTCTGCTCTACAATTCTACTAGTAGTACTGACTACACCTTACTAGCGACCATCCTGGGCCGGCTTCCTTTTGGCCCCTCCCTTCCCCTCTCCTCACCCTCAAGCCATGTTTGGCGCAATGCCGTTATCTTCAGCCGTCGAGATAGTCGCCACTAGGTGCAGGGCACTAGAGAGACGGTCGGTTACAAAAGTGCGGTGGCACAGGTATCACCCCGGTAGGGTTTGATCAGTGCATGGCTCCGTTCGAGGTCTAGTAGACTAGCATGGAGTAGTGGTCTATCAGGAACGGTACATACAGGGTTTAGCCGGGGCTCTCCAGAGCCACGTGGGAGGTGCTAAACCAAGCTTACTTTGCCTTTCTCACGCCTCGCCTCGAGAATCAGACAAGATATGCAGATGATTCTATTTCCAGCCACGGGGGCGTCCGGCCCCTGTTAGTATGGAGGTGCTCAATTCCGCTAACATTGGTCGACCAGCATTCCCGCTTGCAGTTACCGGGCTCTCTGAAGACACGGTCCATGATTAGCGAGTTTGCGACTCCGTATGGAATGAGTTCTGCAGAGTGAGGTCTATTCTATCGTGTTGATGGCATAGTCTATGCCAGCTCCTGCGTGTGCCAAGCACAGCTCAACGGGCGGAAGTATTCCGTGCTCCGGCCGAAGCGGAAGGATTCAACTGAGGAACAAGTTGACCATCGGCACATGTGCCGAGAGCGTGGCCAATATGCCAAACAAGCCAGAATCACCCTGAAAAGGAAGGTGGTCGAAATTCCCGAAAGGCAAAGATCTGTCTGCTGTCAGTGTCAGTGTCAGTGTGTCAGTGTGTCGGATCATGAACAGGCAGGACCTTCTGGTTTCAAGTAGCGTGCGGAGTACGGAGTAGGAGTGCTTGAATTCATGAAGGCCAAGACGATCGTCATCTCCTTCATCTGATGGCTGCGATGGACCATAGCACTCCGTGGTGTGACGCACTAGTTGTGTGAACTATGAAGATGGGTTCAGCCAGGGGGATCTTGGGAATTTCCCGAAGCGGCAATCGATGTTCCAACGGGCCGCAGGGTCGATGCACCGAGTGGAGATGCCCTGCAGCCTGATTCGTCAGGTTTTGGTCAGTTATCAAAGTCTCTTTTTGATTTTTCCCTGTCGTGTTTAGTCGACTTTCTTGTTCTTCGAATTCCTCGACTTCTCGTGTGCTTCGCTGCTTAGAGTCCTGGATTGACGTTCCTGTTGGGGTTCTCCGCTGCATTTCTCATTTGGCCCCAGGTTCCCGTTGTCGTTACCTAAACCCTGTACTCTGTAGTCTCAAATGATGCTTTGGATAGAATGATACTCAGGCGGCCACGTTTTTCACCATCGTGCATGGTACTTCTTGACCACCAATCGGAAACCCATCTCCGCCGAGACTGGCCGGCATACGAGGTCCACGTTTTTACGGACTAGTTATCAGCAAGGTGGTGAGAAGAGAGGCAAGTTTAAGAGCAAGAACCAGACGAATTTGGGGCTGGAGGATTCCCAATTAGAGATGATATCTGCCAACCTCCGTAGGTAGGTGCTGGTACCTAGTTTGGCAACGGCGAACATCCGTCCAGCGCGAAGGCATCAACGAAGAGAAACGACGCCGTCCAAAGGCTATTAGATTGCCCCCCGTCGGCCCATGTGGCCGGGAAACTCACATGACCCACCACTCCTCCAGGTCGAAACCGGCCCGGCGTGGTTAGTACCTTAGGTATTATTCTCCTTCTCCGTCTGCTGCTGCTTCTTCCTCGCATTCTCATCCTTCTCTCCGTCATGGCGCGGTTTGACGTCTGGAAAGTGGAGTTCTCATTGGACTGAGGTCTGCGAACCTGCATCAGATTCAGGGATTGACCTCGCTTCCCTTTTTCTTCCATCTTAATTTATTTTCTTTAATTCTTTTTTTCCCTTCTTATTGACTTTATTATTAGCACCCTCAATCACGCCCGACAGATCACTACGGAGTAGGGGTTCACCATCTCCTGAGATTTTTGGGGTCTGGTTTAACCTTACCCTGTCGTATGCTTTTCTTCACTTCTTTACTGTGCCTGTCACCCGTGTTAGCAATGGCATTGTTCATAAAGCGTGTTTATTTCTCCATTTAACTTCGACCCCTTCGCGGTGGGTCTCTGCTCGGTTCGCGGGAGATGAAGTTTTGCTTTCTGCACGCCTATAGCCTTCTTTGTCAGCTCTCGATTTGAGTTTTCATTTCGTTATACTTCTGTTTATGCTATTAGTCCCGTCGTTCCTTGGTTTCTTATCCACGGGTTGCTGTTTATTTTATTCGGCGTCAGGCTGGGGAGAGACCATGTCGACCACGCCCGTCACCACAACTCCGAGTGACGCCGGTCCTGTCCAGCAAGCCGCCCCCACACAGCAGCTTAATAGGTCTTGCGAATCGTGTCGAAGTCTGAAAGTCCGCTGTCTGCCCGACCACGCCTTCCCCAACCAATGTCAGCGATGCGTTAAAGCCAAGAGGGCTTGTGTCTTCGTGGCCCCTCAGCGACGGCGGCCGCGGAAGCGAACTGACTCGCGGGTGGCTCAGCTGGAAAGGGAAATGCGCCAAATGCGCTCCCTCCTCAAGGACCGCATCATCGTCGACGAAAGTAGCACGGAGAGTACTGGGAGTGAAAGAGAGGACTCGTTCGAACCAGAATTTGGGGCTGACCCGAAAGAGACTTTATCGACCATGCTAGACGCCCCAAGCAGCACCTCGGGGTCCCTTCGACGTATCGAAGCTTCTCCCGGTTTTGGCTCGTCCACATTGTATCCACATACTCTTGAAGATGGCTCGATACCAGCTGCCTCTTTCAATCCCGCCCAAGCCAGGCATTCCCCGGAATTGCCCGTCGAGGAAGACGTTGTCGACCGAGGCGTGATCAGCCTGGACTATGCCAACGAACTGGTGGCATTTTATATGACAGACCTAACAGGATTTTCTCCGATGGTCACTTTGCCGTGCGATACCACAGCCGCCCAACTGCGTCGCTCAAAGCCTGTGCTTTTTCTGTCAGTGATTGCGGCAGCCGCGCTTGCCGTGGACGAGTGCCTAGCAGCTGTCCTCAACCGCGAGTTGGTTCGACTTTATGCGGAGCGCTTTTTCATGAACGGCGACAAGTCTTTGGAACTGGTTCAAGCTTTGCTGCTCATGATCATCTTTTATTATCCACCGGACTCGCCTTCGAAACTGCAGCATTATCAGTATACCCATATCGCCGCCACGATGGCCTTGGAGATCGGGTTAGCCTCTAAGCGGAGGGTGCTCAATGGCACGGACCGCAAATCAAGTAGGCAGGGTGTGTACGACCAGCACATGGCTGAGCAGGCCAGAGCGATACTGGGATGTTATCACTTAGCGTCGACGTAAGCATTAGGACTTTCTGCAGCAAACAAGATGGCATCTGACATATCACAGCGTCGCAATGAAAACACGCCGGCCCAATCTGCTTCTGTATAATGACTGGATGGAGGAGTGTGTTAAACACTTAGAAAAATCGCCGAACATGCTCGATAAGCACATGGCGACGTGGTTTGAGTTGCAGAGAATCGTTGACGAGGCGATGGCTTCTTTCGGCCTTGATGACACCAGTTCCACTACTCCTTTGACGGAGTCGCGAATTCAAGCCATACTGAGGTGGTTTGATAGCCGGATGCAGTCTTGGATGAAGAATGTTCCCGCAGAGTTGCTCACTGGTTGGTTTGCCCTCGCCGCTTGGATCTTGAAGCATCAAGAAATCAGTCACTAAAATATCACAACAGTGCCGATGACCTTCGAATACCACTATACCAACCTTGCCATATATGAATTAGCCGTCGGAGAAGGGTACCGAGACCCTGATGCAATCAAGCGACAATATTACACACTCCCCAGACCGGAAGACGGAGGCAGCGAACGGCATCAAACCCCACTGAGCGCCGTGCGCGTGGATGTCACAATCAAATGGATGAATGCGGCCCAGGAGACGCTCGATACCTTCCTCAAGTGTGATACCGAAGTGATGCGGTCGATTCCTAGCCTTGTCTATACCCGGGTGGGCGCGGCCATGATGTCGCTTCTCAAAATCTATTTTTCGGTCAGGTCAGGAGGTCTGGGGGAGTTTATCACGACCCAGGCGATCAAATTGGAAATGTACTTGGACGCCATGACCAACAGCCTGACCGAAGCCAGTGGCGGGGGGAAATACAGGATTCCCAGTCGATGGCTGTATGTCATTGCGATCAAAGCGCGAAATTGGTATGATCGGCTCCAACAACGGCAAATGCAGAAAGAGACGGGGCTTGTCCCCTCGATCAATACCAGCCCGTCCACATCACAAGCTCCGGCTTCTTTTGCAACCCCTCCAGGATATGATCCTGCCTCCGCACTTTCACAGCCGCCGGTCGGAGCGTATGGAGTGAGCGTGGATATGTCGCAAGTCTCGGCGTATCAAACCATGGGTGGAAGCTATGCAACGCCCCCAGGAATGACCCCGACGTGGTCATCAGATCAAGGCACAAGTCACCTCAGCTATTCCAACGTGAATCAGTTCTCAACGTATCCTCCAGCCATTGTGCCATCACAGTATGTATATGAGGCGCCTCAGCAGAGGGTTATCCCGGGTGGCGGCACACTACATAGTGGCACGCCGAGACCTCCCAACACCAGCATGGAGCTCGATGGTTGGGTCCCGGATAGGAGCCTCGTGGGCATGCCTAGCCTGCCGGAGTTTTAAAGAGGCGTGGTCTGTATGAGCAAAGCATCATCTATACCCATGGTGTTGGAGCATTTTGCCTGTAAATAGTATAAGTTGATCCGAGGTGGTTCTGGTCAGTAAAAATAAAAAGAAATGCCCACATAGCAGGTAGCCATGACTTTATCCAGAGCACAAAGGTGAAAACAGAGAGCGAGAAGAGAGGGAAATAAAATAATGGTCATAAATCAGCTACCAAGAGAAGAGGCCCAAGACAATTTAAAGTAAAAAACTGGATCAAGGAAAAACTTCGGCAGAACTGGCAAACCGGGGCATCGGCTGCTTCGAAACCTCCGAGCCAACCGACCGGGGAATCTCGTCAGAATTTCTCTTTCCACTTTTACACCAGTCTATTGCGGAACATGCAACGTTCCATCGATCGAGTTAACCGACGGAACCAATAAGTCGTCGCCGTTTGAATGCCCGTTGTTGGATGCGTCTCCCCGTGCGCCTGAGACATGGTTGATTGTTCGGTTGGTGATCTACCATCACCTGCCGTCTTTTTATTGTTGGGGATCTCTTCCGATTGGGTTAAATCCTCCAGGAGTTTCGTGTGAAATACTAAGAAGCCTTCAATTTCCAATTATATTGTCGACTCGGTTTTATCTCAATCGTCTCTTATTTAACCTCGCGGCTGATTTCCCCAATGGGGTAAATCCCCCAGCCTTCGTTCGTCTGCTCCACTTCGTCTAATAAGCAACTTGGTCTAATGCAGCCTGCAGGAGGCTTTTGCCTTTTGTTTTTCTTTTCTTCTTTGACCGTGAGTTGTTGATATAGCGTCCCGGAACAAAGTAGAGAATCTATTACGTATCTCTACAATATGATACTACTGGCTACTGAGGTACGTACTCTTCAGATAGCAAGACGGGTTAATTGAATCAAGGCTAGCTTCGAATAGCGACGAAAACTCCAAGAGCAATACAGTGCAATCTTATTCCTCAATAATACTTGGATCGAACGCTCCCATAAGACATCCCCTCGAATTGAAGTTCAAAGATCAGCGCGGCGGACGCGGACGTCATCACAAGCACATATGAGATATCGTAATACTCGACCCCCTTTGAGTTGCGTCTCTTCACAAATAAAGATCGAGGAATCTTAGTAAGGTCGGCCTCCAAGGTACACAGCTTTATAAGACCTTTGGGAGAGTGAGTAAGAAAGGGAAGATGACCCGTGGGCGCAGACTTACTGTCGTCTTCGACTTTTGGTGCCTTCGCACTATTGCAGCGGTAAAAAGTAATATGGCGGAGCAATTTGCTCTCGGCGTTGTCAACGTGAACACTGACATAGAAATCTAACTTAACCGGTTGATCCTCGTACATTGGGGAGGACTTGGTTCATGGAGTTAGCCGGAAGGAGAAATGAGTGGGAAGGATCCAGCACCTTTTTGATGATCCAACTCATCTCGTTGGCTCGATATATTTCCTCTAAGTCATCCCAATACTTATTCTTTGGTCCATGGACGTCTGAGAGCCACACCTGGCTGCATCTAGTTCCGTAATGCTGACGAGCAATTCTACTTTCAACCTGATTGCCTTGTAATCCACGATGCACAGCACCCCTTTAAATCATCGTTAGCAGGTCTGTTCGATTGTTCCAGGAGTATGGGGCCGTGCCAACCTCACAACTGCAGACCAACTGAATCCCGTATCAGTCAATAGTCCATATATCTCATATGCTGATGGGGACCTACGCATCTTCTGGCTGCACAATCCTCACAGCTGGGTTGCCTTCTTGCAACCGGCGGAAAAGGTAGTGTGAGGATCCGAAACCACCAACAAGGACAATGGCCTGTACTATGATTAGTTAATGCGCTGCGCGAGTTACTATCCACAAGTGTGAGACCTTTGTCGAGCGCCCAAGTCGTGTTATATCCGCTATCTGTCCGGCAACAAGCTCTTCGACGTCCCGTATGATAGGCTCAAAAATGTTCTCGAGGTCGCCACTAGAATCGCCTCAGTATTCGGTCTCTTAGATAATGCAGTGGACTGACGGGCTCAGCGGGAAGCACCCTTCTACAATGGGAATCGTTGGATCGTCTTTCGCCCCTGCAATTGGAATGAATTTGTCGGTCTCAGCGTATTCATCCTCACTGATTGTATCGGAGTCTTTAGAGTCGCTGTACGATATGCTCGATGCAATGGGTACCTGGATAAAGGTAGGTCACATAATATGACATCAGGGAAGGAATGATCAACTGTGGCCTCTTCTGAGTAATTACATACCTCACTCTTCTCCTGCCTTCCAGTATAGTAAGGTTTCACGCGTTCTTGCCAGTAAGATCGTACCGCATCCTTGGATACATTCGACAACGAGTCGTACTTATCGGCGCCCATTCTACCACGAAGGAGGTCTTCAAATCGATCATCTAAGAACATGGATCCACAAGCACGTCCTGTGATCTGGAGTTAGCTGCTGAACTAACAATGCTTATCTAGGGCGATGAACCTGTTCCCTCGGTCACCTCCACGAGCTCTAGGGGCTCTAGGGTCTTGATTTGATATGAAATGAGGTCCTATTAAAGGGGTAACTACCTGAGTCTCTTTCATTGATTCTACGTTGCTGAGGAGACCTACCACTGTTCCCCCTCCGGCATCACAAACAACGAACACGTCATTTTCCTGCAGCAGTCAGACTCTAGCTTCATATACATGCATACGCCATGATTTGGGAATGGGCAACTCACGGAGAACGAATCTGGCAAAACCTTGCGCAACGCATGCAACGCCGCGGCTTCGGGCTCGGAAATTAGGGAAAGATCCTCCGCCGAAATGCCTGCTTGAATCGCAGCCCTCATTGTCGCATCTTTGGCTTTGTCAGACCACACGGCTGGGACGGTCAGAACAAATCGCAAATTCATATTGGCTTCATCTGGCATTAAGCGGTCTTTCATCATGATCTTCTTGGAATGTTTAATAAGACACTCCAAGTAGTCCGCGGTCACTTGCACCGCATCCTTATTACACAGCTCCAGCAACTTCCTTGAGGCCAACGATTGGGCATAATCGAACTTCTGATCTTCATCCAGCAGCAATTTGATTCCTCGAAAACTCTCAGTGCAAGCATCGACCTGGTAGCCCCATTTTTCACGTCGAGCCTTGTCATAAGCGATCACTGACGGAACTTTGGCATAGGTTCCTGCTTGGCAGTTAGCAAAATGTTGAAAATGGAACTCAGAATGGAGTTCATAGCTGACGGTTGCTTTTATCCTGCCATGTTGATACTAAAGTGATGTCCTCGTCAGACCCCGTTGATCCATCAAGTGCCCAAGCGACTCTAAAGGACCGGTGAGTATTCCTCAGCGCCATGAATGATCGGTCTCTCACATACCCGCTATACGTTGTGCCAAAGTCGATCCCAACAAGGTATGAAGGTCCCCTTGCCATGATGTCAGTAGTATCTATCAAGTTAGAGTCAAAGTATTTCTTTCGCTATCGCTGTCACTTTATTGGAGTTAGGAGAAGCACCCGAGTGAGTAGGAGGGAAACAGGACAGTTAAGTAAGGGTCGAGTGGGTGGACGATGATTCAATAGTGATACTTAACCACCTCATTCTGACGGCGGCGGAGCATCATTCCTTCCTTACCTATTATTCACCTCATCTCGAGCCCTGGAACCATACATATATATATATATAGGGCTCTTCCTTTCCTGCACTCAATTTTCGTCAAAAAAGGGCCGTTCACCCGTCGAAATGTTCGACTGGCCGTTTAATCTATGGGGGTCTAGGGCTCGCCATGAGCTCAGTAAGTTCTGAGGTGACCAAGATGCTAGTTATTATTTTTGCTCTAATTTTTATTAGCTCTTGAAGATGTCCACGAGGCACAAGATCGACTAAAGAATGAGAAGATAGCGTTGGAAAAGGTACGTGGTGTTCCGCAATCCCCAGCTTTTCAACCCATCTCGATGCTCAACGCTAACGCCCAAAAAGGAGATTAAAGATATCAAGAAACAACTAAAAGCAAGCGATCTGGCCTACAAAGAGAAAAGCAAGCTTCTGGAATCAGAAGCTTGTAAATATCATAAAGACATCCAGCTTCTCCAACGTCAGGCAGACCACAAACATTCAACCGACTTCACGAAAATCCGACAGCTAGAGAGAGGAGTCGCGGAGTGTTGCAGGCAAAATAAGATCCTCCGTGAAGAAAATGAGGTCCTCCGCCGGGAGAATAAGGCTTTCCAACATGCGGCAGAGCTCAATGAGCGCAGACATTTGCTTGACGCCGAGAAGAGCCGACGGCAACATGAATTACTCTCACAAGCAGAGATACGAGCTGAGGAGAACGAGAAAGCTCACCGTGGGACATTGAATGAGCTGTACAACGAAATCAATTCACTGCAAATCGGACAAGCGCAGATGAATGACGAGCAGATTTCGGGAATAATGCGAAAACTCGGCCATGACTTAGACTCATGGGTCAAACTACATTTCATATACCCTCAGACAGAGGAACCCTGCAACTTTCCGTACAATTCTCTTCAACTTCAGGCTTGGATCCAAGCAGGCATCGTGAACATGATACACAGTCACATCTTTGCTCCATATCATTTTGGAATTCACGATGACTCCGGGGGTCATTTCATCGGAGTGTTGAAAGACGGGATTGAGAATATCGGTACTATATAATTTCGACTGAGTGTGCAGTGCCAGCATGCTAACTGTTCCCCAGTTTCTGAAAAGGCACTGAGAACGTGGCAAACCATAACCTGCGATTTCCTCGAAGAATCCACCAAGGACGAACGAGAAGGCTTAATATGCGATATTATTGACCAGGTCGAAAAGCAATTTGGCAAGTTTTCACCCACGGATGACAAGTTAAGACAGCATCAATTTCAAGAGCTTGTGCAGGGCTGCGCCAATTTCAAAACGGCTCTTAGCCGACAACAAGCTCGGTATTTGCTCTACTGCAACCCAATGGGATCGGAGTTTTCCTGGGAATTCATGGCGTTTGGTGGAGGAGATGGAGGAGGAACGGGGAACGCAGTAAGACTGTCCCTCTGGCCTGGTCTAGCGAAACAATGCCAGGATGGCGCCGAGAGTCTTCTGGAGCCGGAGCTAGTGTGGACGATGGATTGGGATTCGAGTGATATATCCTGATGTTTGGATGCCTAAGGCAAGCTGCTAAGCATTTCGCTATTAGCTTACCCCTCCAAAGGCACCTTTTAGGTAGGCAACATCATGGAAGACCTCGAATTTTCCTACATCAATCAATTACCTCAGTTTTGATCAAGGCATTCGAATATTCATCCATTCATTCATTCATTCATTTCATCGTTAATGACCTCTGCAGTTCACCCGGCCCCTGGAACGTCTACACTGATGGCATTAAACTTAATGAGAGAGAGAGAGAGAGAGAGAGAGATTTACATTATACCCGAATAATAGTAGTATTAGTAGGCCACGGAAGAGCTGAATGAAGCAGTAATGAAGCTATACAAATGCCGAACAATCATGGCCCTCAAGTCACAATTCAAATGGCAGATATACCACTGCACCAAAAGGGTCAACGCTCCTTAGAGAAGGGCTATTTTACGCATATCCACGTAGCCACACCCTCCAACTGCTTCACCTCACCCTGACGCTGCACACATCGACTCACACAAACACTCAATTTGGCCCTGTCAGTCACTCGATGCCTCGACGACTGAGTGCCTAGGCGAATGGCAGAATTATGACTTAGTATGCTTTAAAGTCAATCAAATTGTTGGAACAATCTAACCCCCATGTAAATCCTACCTACGAAAGATAAACAACCGACTGACTCGCGTAGCAGTACGAAGGCATCAACGAGGTGGGCACCGTGATCCAGAAGGACATATACCAGGTCACCCCTCGCAGCACCATCATCCACCACGCATCCATTGCACCCTCTCGGCCCCCAAACCTTCCCTGCATTTTATCGATGGAAATCATCCAGCGAATCAAGAAGGACATGACCATTCTCATGCCATTGATTGCGAGGACCGTCGAACTTGCCCTTCGTGTCTCGCGCCTTGCCCTGCCGAGTGTTCTCAATCGCTCGCGGCCACGCATCAGTTGCCAGGTTGACATACTCTGCCACCAAGAACTTGAAATGCTCGGGTCTCTCCGAGAAATATTGAGTGGTGCGTGAGTGCATCTCCTATAGACGCTCAATGTATCGTTGTTTCGCGGTGTTGATGTGCGAGGACGTCGCGTCTGTCCGTCCGGTCGATTGCTTGACGTAGGGGTCATTTCCCCATCGATTGAAGAAGTCGTCGGGATAGTTGTCATGCAATTCGACTATGTAATCACATATCATAGCTAGGTTCGATCGGCTGCCAGTTACTATGTCTGCACTGTGTTGTTGCTGAACCATCTCTTTCAACCACAGGAGGAAGATCTCTCTTGACTCCCAGAACAGAAACGACGAGCCAACCTGCGACGTACGGATCGGGCTCACAATCGGGTTGGTGTCAGAGCCCGGTAGTGGAATAAACGGCGACACGAGCCCGACGAGGTCTCCAAGCGCGAAACTGGCCCGGGACTGCCACCCGTTCACGATGCCTCTCTGCGAGTAGCCATCCGACAGTCGCGTCGCGATGTCCTTGCCCACCCTGAACCGAACCAACGCCAATCTCAGCAGGTGGTGTGTTTCTGCATCGTCGGAGCCCGCCAGGTGGGGGTTCGGCAGCCCTAACATCGGGTCTTCAACGAGGATCCCACAGGCCATCATATCCGACTCCTTCGTGGGCACGAGAGCATCCTTTCCAGGAACCCACTCAAACGCTGGCTCGCCACCGTTGATTTCGTGCATCTGAACCGCAGGGGCTTTTTTCCCGAAGCTATACTGAAATACCGGTCCCAGTCCCCGCAGAAGGGTTGCCGTTAAGCTATGTCCGTTTCCTTCGGCACGCAGGAAGCCCTCGCTGAAACGAAGAGGTCCAGCCAGCGCATGACCATGCGATGCGCGATGACCACAATGTCCCCCAAGGTGCTCGTCGCCAGCGGCCTCGTGACTTCGGGGATCATCAGATCCCAGGACCTTTCCACGTACTCGACACCCACTTCCCGCTCGACCATAGATGGCGGCATCAAGGGGCCTTCAAACGCCTGTTTCTCCGATCGGGGAACACTTTCTTCTATCCGCTACCTCGTCTGTCGCTCATGAATCGTACGGATAAACAGAGCCCATGAGACCTGATCGCCGGGAGAAGTCGAAACCCAGCGACGACGACGCGCACGCACCGCATGAATTCTCTGTCGCCATCGCGCCGTCGGCCGATTGCAAACCTCGTGGTCCCAGTTGTCTGCTGCAGCTCCCTAGGTGGCGCCTTATCGTTGATGCCGACGATTCGGGGATCCTTGGATTGCTCGTCCGTGTCGTACAATACAATCAGCGGCGTGGTGTACTTGGTCTCGAACCGAAACTCGGACCAGCGCCAGCTCAAGCGCGTCAGTCCTGACCAGGGACCTATGATAGATTCCTGGCAGCGACGGTAGCCGTCCGCAGTGCCGAAGAGTTGCTGCAGTAGCTGGACGGAGGCGATGAACAAAGCCACGATGGCTATGACAAGAGCCGCCAGGGAGGTGTGGGCCTCGTCTACCATTTCTACGAGTCCTGGGAAGAAAAACGTCAAGAATTAATTGCTAATCATAAACGAAAGAATTTGACAACTGAGTTATTGAGGGGCGTCAGCAAAGACCACGAAGCCGTGAGATCGTCATTCAGCTGATTGGTCCAGACCCGGATGAGGCTGTACTAGGTAGTATACCTCCGGCTCTCTAGCCAAGTATATCTTCCATATCATAGTATCGACAGAATTTTCGTTAGGTGTCTATACACCACCACCACCACCACAAGAATCACTTAGTGGGGTTTCTGCAAAACACTCGCAGGTTCGGCTGGCAGTGCTTTGGTATGGATGGGATCAGTGCCAGCCTCAGGATCCAAAGCCACATTATAGGTCTGGCCGGCTGGCGAAGTGCCGGACATGGTATACCATTCAATATTCTCAATAGATGGGTTGGAATCACCGCGGCTTTGTGATAGCCGCTCAAATCCACCATCCGAGAAGGACCCAAACAGAGAATCGGGCTGGCTCCGACCCGACCTTCTCGGAGTGGAACTTCTGAGCCAGCGATTGAATGACGAAGGTGGGCTCTTTTTCTGTCTCTGTACCACGAAGAAGGATCGGAATGTCGACGCGGCGGCCAGAAAAACGCCTAGCTCAGTGCTCAAAGATTGCCAGTAGATTTCCCATATCATGTCCACGGCACCCTGGTATACCAGCCCAGCGACTCGGGTGATTGATAGAGCGACTAGGACAAAGGTCAAACAGAGGGAGCACGTCAACATGAGTTTCTGGGTCCACTGGACCTTGATCCTCCAGATGATACCGATTGGAATAACTAAGACTATGCAACGTCAGCAAGGAAAAACGATATTCTGAAGACCCAAGGCGGAGGAAATGAGGGAAGCTTACTGAGAAGATCGGCTGCAATGTCCAACGAGATTTGCGCCGCAGAATGCTGGACCAGTACCGACATGTATTGTCCGGAAGAACATTGAACTATGCTTACATGTTAGACTGTCTGGAATGTGAGAAATTCGAGATAAAAGGGGTAGGTCGGAGATCATACGCTCTCGCTCATCCCAGAATGGACATCCAAGATAATAGACCGTTACTCCAAACCCTAGCTGGCCGAGGTTGAAGATGGCGACGATCCACCAATAAATTTGCCAGAAGCGCAAGCGATCGATCAGTCTCTTGAAGAAGGCCAAGAAATATAGCTTGACCGTACAGATGCAGCACCACCCGATACTCAAAGCTGCCACTTCCCATTTATGGAAGCTGTGAGAGAGTTCGAGCCAGTTGTGTGGGACTTCGATGCCCGAAACCTGGCCGTGCAGGGCGGCAAAAAAGTACATCGGCTCCATTACCTTGTCATATATCATGATCTGACTAGTCAGTAGCAGGAGGACTGCGAGGGCAAACAGCCCGTCGTCGATCTGGAATCGCTGGTTGGGCGCGCGAAAGCGAATTATGCACCGAATAACCACTCCAACAATTGCTAAGGTGAGGAATACGGCAGTGGACGCCTGGGCCACAGCATAAGTAGAGTGAGACTAGGGACGGAGACAGCACTGTCCTTACCACAAAGGCGGTTTTATGAATGCGGCCATAGTGGTCCTGTGGTGCCATGTTGACAACAGAGGTGTCCGAGAGATGTGTATCATGATGGAGAACCTCAGGAACGAAGGTCAGTAGAGGGTTTTTAAGACATGACATGCATACATGGAGGGGTCCAGGGCAATTGACCTTTTACCGTGGTGGATGAAGGCTGTCTGGGTGTTTTGTAGGGACAAGGGCCGGAAAGGCAGTCATCGGTTTCTTTCTCAATGTGTGAACGCATTTGCATGCATGTTGAAGCCCCAGTTGTTTGTGCCCTCCACATTCCCACCTCCCTCCTCTCTCCCATTTTTCCCTGTCCATATCAACCCCTGCTTTTTCGAACTGGGCTCATTGTTTCCGTGTTGGGAGGCTGAGCGCTAGGCAAACGCTAAGGTCAACCTGACCCCTGTCACGTCTCTTTGTCTCTCGATTTATTCCAAATTGCTTTCTCGAGTTCAAGTTCGAGTTTGATTTCGATTTCGATTCTTGTTTCTTCTTCTTTCTTCACGGACCTGACCTCCAGTCAATTCTCTCTCTACCCACGCACGACTGCTATGGTCGCCGCAATCCTCGATCTTGCCACCACGTATGGGGCTCGAGTGGCCCTGGCGGTGATCTTTATTATCATGGTTCCGTTTTTTCACGGGATGCTCAAAGTACGCCTGATGTTCTATCGATTGCGAAAGCAAGGCCTGGTATGCCATCCAGACGATAAACCCCTCTGAGAATGGACAAACTGGCTGACCGTAACTCGCACAGCCAATGCCGAAGTGGGATTTCGCAGCAGGAAATCTGCGGATGCTCCCCGATCTTATGAAGCGACACCCCAAAGGATCGCAGCAGTCGGAAGCTTTTACGTTACTGTCCTACGAGTTTCCCGACAACGATAATTGCTTCTACATTGATGTCTGGCCCTTCTCCAGAAAACCATTATTGGTGGTAACCTCGCCGGATCTAGCAGTGCAGGCTTCTCAGACATATGCGCTGCCAAAGCCGCCCGTCCTCGCCAAGTTCTTCAATCCCTTCACGGGAGGTCCCAGCATCTTCGTGACCAATGGCCCCGAATGGAAGCATGCCCGAGGACTGTTCAATCCCGCATTCAGCGCCAGTAACATTCTCGAGCATACTCCCCATATTGTCGAAGAAGCCGAAGAGTACGTGGAGATCCTTCGCGGGCATGCACGCAAGGGAGATACTTTTACCCTCGACAAAATGACTTGTGACTACGTCATGGACATTATCGGACTCGTTGCCATGTGGGTTTATTCTACCAACCCGGGTCCTGAAGTATAAAGCCTAACGTGTAACAGGAAAGCCCGCCTTCACTCTCAGCGTGGAAATAATGCACTGGCGGCGGCCATGAGAAGTTCAGTCGAGTGGCATTGCCAGGACGAGGAGATGAATCCCTTTATTCGGTGGAATCCCATGCGACCGCTCATGCAGTGGTACAATGGCCAGACGATGAACCGGTACATTGGGGTCGAATTGGACAAGCGATACGAAGTATGGAAGCAGCAGAACTCTTCCACGCGGGCAAATTCGATCATTGATATTGTCCTCGCGGAATATATGAGCACGCGGAAGGCCGGTGAGAAGCTGGACCACGGGTTTAAAAAATGGGCGACTATCCAAATCCGAACTTTCCTATTTGCTGGTCACGACTCCACGGCTGCGACGGTTGTTTACAGTATCTACCTGTTGTCGAAGCACCCGGAGATACTGGCAAAGGTACGCAGCGAGCATAACGAGGTATTCGGGTCGGACATCACAGCTGCGGCAGGTATGCTGAAGCAGCATCCAGAGCTAATCAACCGACTCCCATATACACTCGCGGTTATCAAGGAGACGCTTCGTCTCTTTCCCGCCGCCTCCGCGTTGCGAGAGGGCCAGCCGGGGGTCTATTTGCAGGACAAGAATGGCACCAAGTACCCGACAGATGGCCTGTGCATCTGGATCATCCATACGGGTCTTCAACGTAACCCTAACTACTGGCCGGATCCACACGCTTTCAAACCAGAGCGCTGGATGATTGGACCAGAGCATCCGTTGTATCCTCCCAAAGGTGCCTGGCGTCCCTTCGAATATGGTCCGCGAGACTGCATCGGTCAACCGCTGGCCCTACTAGATGTCAAGATTACCCTAGTGCTCACTCTCCGGGAGTTCGACTTCCAGGACCGGTACGCAGAATGGGACCATCAACATCCCCGGCCGGGGCCCATGACCGTCTTTGGCGAACGCGCCTACCAAATTCCCCTGGGAGGCTCTCACCCAGCCGACGGCCTTCCGTGCCGCGTCACCTTTCGAAAGTCGACAAGCCAGTGAGAATTAAAGCAAAAACGCTTACTGTACCACGTCGAGATCAATAGCCTACATTCAAGCCTCGCCCGCCATCAAATAAATCTCGTATTCTTTAGGCTAAAATAAGAAATAGACCCTTTTCATGATGCCATCATTGGCATGTATGATCGCCCGCGTGGAAAGATGTGCTTCAAGCTCAAGATCGCCACTGAAGCGAGGGATAAGGACACCATGAGGGGAGGGGAAACGACCGGGATTCAGTGGTGGCTTGAGAGACCAGTGTCAGATGTTCATATTGTCTAGTAATGCATGAGATATATGTAAACCAACCGGGGTTCTGCTCGTCTGGTTCTTGATCACACACAAGGGTATGGACAAGATTGTAACCCATCTGCAGAGCTGATTTGTACAACACAGCAGCGCTTATACTTATGTTTGTCTCACGAGCCTCATGGTTTTGCAATGTGCGTGTACTTGGGGCCTTATTTTGGACGATGCCGGGGGGCTGTAAAGGGAGCTGGGGGGCTATTTTGCTCAACAGGAATGTGAGCAGGCCCTAGGGGAATAATGGGGAAGCGACAAGCCAAGGCTGTGTGAGACTGAATTGTTGTCACTACCTTAGCTATTTATACCAATGAGATCCATCTGTTCTTCCTTGCCTCCCTCAATCTCCTGCTCTCTCTCAAACTGAATGCGCTGTCTGCTATATCACGAGCTTCTGTGGCATTACAATGGCTTCGCAGTCGTTGGTCTTTCTATTCCTCCTGTCCGTACCCTTCGGCATCACCTACTTAATAACCTGGATTCTCTATCACTGGGCGAATCGACCCAATCTCACTGGAGTCAGCGAAATCCCGCCGAGCCTGCCAGCGGCTCTCCCCATCCTCGGCCATACCATTCCCTTCTTGTTTCACGGGATCTCATTCGTAAGGCGGGCAACGTATGTTTCTCTTCAACCTTCTTCTCGCTACTAGGGGCTCCTTTGTTGATTGCTGTGCACCACAGGACTTATGCGGGACGATTAACATGCGTCCGAATCTCCCTCCCATTGGCGGGTATTTACCTGTTCCAGGAGCCTGAAGCAGTTGCTGCCCTGTGGAAACATCCGCTGCTCTCCAGCCCGATATTCATCTATACAGTAGGGCTGCGGTATTTGTTCGGCATGAAGGACAGGCCGCTGGAAACTTACACGGCGGACGACTCGGGGCCCTTTCGCAAACCACATCTGAATAGCAACGTCGTCTCACATAATCGTGTTGACTACTTGACTCACGACTCCCTGCTACGAGGCTTATCAGGGGCGGGACTAGCACCTACCTTCCAGCGCTGCCAGGACATGATTACGTCGCAGATTAGCAGCCTGGGAATTGGGGATGAATGGGTCCAGATGCCCGACATGCTGCTGTTCTTTCGGAACCATGTGGGACGCGCCGTGCTGCAATCACTTTTTGGACCTCTCTTGCTCGACGTCAACCCCATGTTCATGGAGACGTTGTGGCAATTTGATGCAGCGACTCCATGGTTAGCAAAAAGATTTCCAAGATGGCTTGTCCCCAAAGCCTACCGCGCGCGGGATTCGTTGCTCGACCAGATTCAGAACTGGTATCGTCATGCCCGGGTGAACTTCCACGAATCGCTTATTATGGAGGACGGAGATGGAGACCCATGCTGGGGATCCAAAATGATACGTGAGAGGCAGACGTTCCTCTTGGTCGCAGACAAACAAGACGATGCCTCGATAGCATCCGCCGACTTGGGCCTGATCTGGACCTCCATCACCAACGTGTTGCCCAATTCCATGATGGCAGTTTTTCACATCTTTCAGGACCCGGACCTTTTAGATCGTGTGCGGCAGAGTCTGGAAACCGAGGGAGTAATCAGCTTCAAGCCAGAATTTACGGTTTCTATGGATCGATTATTGCGCAATGATCTCCTGCAAGCAGTTTACGCCGAGACCCTGCGACTCTACGTCCAGGTGTACGTCACGCGGTGCTCCGCGCATGAACCCGTGTCCGTCGGGCGCTGGTGGCTTGGACAGAGCGACGTCGTGATGGTCAGCTCCTACGTGAACCACATGAACGAGCAGCTATGGAATACCCAGGACGGAGCCCACCCCTTGGACACGTTCTGGGCAAATAGGTTCCTGCTGGACCCCACGGATTGGCGCTCGGGCCCGCGGAGGATACCGAGGGATCAGTTGGATGCTGATCATCCCGAATGCGATGCGGTTGGAAATCATCCTACTTTCTCAGTGAAGGGGTTGGAAGGAACGTGGATTCCTTATGGTGGTAAGTGCTTCGTCCAAGAATCGACCTGAAAGCACATTCGAGTACATAAGTGGCTAAAAGCAACCCCGGTTATCCTTCTACATAGGTGGCAGCTCTGCATGCCCTGGCCGCAACTTTGCTAAGCAGATGGTGTTATTCTGCTGTGCGTTTTTCGTCGGTCAATTCGATTTGGATATTCAAGCCCCGTCCTCTCTGGATATGGACAGCACCACATTTGGACTGGGGACCCAGAAGCCAAAACACAAAGTGTCCTTCGCCATTCGGCGTCGACAAGGACTCTAGGCTTGAACTCACTATGCGCGTGATCTTGCGAGTCAGGGGGGATTTGGGCTTTCAGCCGATGTAGCCGCGAAGGAATAAGGCGTCGGGGTTCTTGCATTAGTTCGTCGAGGAGTGGCCTGCCAAGCAAGCCACAGCAGTGGAAACGTAGAGAGCCTTAAGAAAAGAGACAAAGAAAGGAAGAAGTTGGGAGAAAAGAGGTGGAGGGCGAGGACAGAGGCCGCAGAGAAATCTACTCCGTATGTATGTATCCATGGATGTATGTACCTACTGTGCAAGCGTGCTCACGCCCCAAATTGAGCATTCTTTCATGGGCCTTGGGGGTATCCTTTTCTCAGCGTATGTACATACTCATATACAGTACATACTAAATCAAAAGTTCTTCCCCGGAATCACCTTGCATCAATCAAGAATTAGTTTTCACTTTGTCGACACTGCGCCCTGCTACCCAATTTTAGAACTGACCGTTTGTTCTTTCAATTTGGTCTGCCCAGAAATCCTGGTGTTGGAAAAAACTTACATTCCCAACCAAACCACTAGCCTTGCCCTTCTCAGGGGGTATCTTGGAGAGTAGCCCCGTCTATCTCGTCCCCCTTATGACCACGTGAACAGTTCAGGCAATGCACTCCAAGTACTCCCGCCAATGCAGCCCTATTCATGTTGTTGTGTCTCAAGTAACGACATCCCATCTCATCAAGAATGGCAGTCCCGGCAGATGAGATCAAAGAACCTCTCGAGAAATGGCTAGCAGAAATAACGTGCCAGAAAAGCCAGCGGACCCTGCGCGGCGTCTCGTTTACAGATGTGAACGTGAACGGGTTCACTGAGCCTACCCTATTTCAGCATACGTTCGCTACATATATCTTGTGTCTTCCAGTATTCGTCAAGGCTCTGCTGGGGATCAGCCAGCGGAAGAAGATCCGGATTCTGCGAAACTTGGATGGCGTGGTTCTTCCCGGAGAGATGCTCCTGGTGCTGGGACGCCCAGGAAGTGGCTGCACGACCTTTCTCAAGACAATTGCGGGTGATGTATATGGGCTAGACATCGATGGAGTCGACATTAAATATCAGGGTCAGTGAGAAAGTCTTCCGCTCTCTCCCTTCCTCCCTCCCTCCCTTTTTCTCTCTCTGACAACCATTATAGGGGTTCCCTTTTCGGACATGCATCGCAAGTTCAGGGGGGACAGCATCTATCTGGCCGAAAATGACATTCACTTTCCTGAGCTGGCGCTGGGGGAAACAATATCCTTCGCGGCGGACATGAGACCTCAGGGCCAGATGACTCGCAGCGAGATCGGCTTGGTGACAGCCAGGATCTTCGGGCTAGAGGGTTCTCTACAGACGCAGGTCGGCAATGACATGGTTCGCGGACTCAGTGGTGGTGAGAAACGACGAACAAGTATGGCAGAGGCCTTGCTTGGAAGATGTCCTGTGCAATGCTGGGATAACAGTACTCGGGGACTAGACAGTGCGACCGCCGTCAACTTCGTCCGGATGCTGCGCCGTGCTACGGACGTCTTACACTCGACAGTTATGACTACTATCTATCAAGCTCCTGAACCTCTGTACCAGACATTCGATAAGGTCCTGCTGCTCTATGAGGGGCGCCAGATCTATTTCGGCTCTACCAGCGAGGCTGCGGAGTATTTCATTCACTTGGGCTTCATGCGCCCTCCACGCGCGACAACGGCAGATTTTCTGACCTCATTGACCAACGCAGACGAACGAATCGTCCGGTCTGGCTTTGAGGTTCGAGTCCCCCGCTCGCCAGATGAGTTCGCGACGGCCTGGCGCAGAAGCCCTGAGTGGCAGGCTGTCAGGAAGGAGGTGGAAGAATTCAACAGAGCGCATTCCTTGTCACACCAAGATCACGATCCTTCGGTGGTCTATCCCACGACTGTGTCTCATCAGATTCGTGCTTGTGTGGAAAGGGCCTTCATAAGATCGCGCCATAACATGCAGGGACTCGTCTCTGGAGTCATCGGGAACACAGTCCTCGCCATTATTCTGGGCAGCGTGTTCTACAATCTCGAGGAGAATACCGGGAGCTTCCAAGCCCGGAGTGTCCTGATCTTCTACGCGACCATGATGAACTCCTGTCTCCCGGCGTTCGAGGTGAATAGTTTGTGGGCGCAAAGACCCATCGTCGAAAAGCACACTCGATACGCCTTCTACCACCCCGTGGCAGAAGCTATCGCGTCAATGCTTGCTGACCTGCCAGTAAAAATGGTGACCTCGCTCTTCTTCAACGTGTGCATCTATTTCCTGACGAAGCTACGACGCGATGCCGCCGCCTTCTTCGCCTTCTGGCTCTTTGGCTTCGTGGTTATGGTAACCATGTCCATGATATTTCGCTCGGTAGGATCTCTATCGCGCACGTATGCTCAATCTCTCGCCCCGGTGTCTATCATGATTTTCAACTTCATTATATATGCGGGATTTGTGATTCCGCCACATTATCAAGTTCCCTGGCTCAGTTGGATCCGGTGGTTTAACCCTATCGCGTACGCCAATGAGAGCCTGATGATCAACGAATTTCGCAATCGTCGCTTTCCCTGCTCCGTCATGGTGCCTACCGGGCCAGCCTATAATGACGGTGGCATGAGCGGCAAGGTCTGCTCAGCAATTGGTGGAGTGCAGGGTGAAACCTTCGTCCAAGGGAATCGGTACCTTGAGGAAAAGTATGGTTATACTTCAGATCATCTGTGGAGGAACCTGGGAATACTTGTCGCCCTGATGATTGGCTTCTGTGTTGTTCATCTTCTGGCTGCCGAGTATATTCAGGCAGAGAAAAGCAAGGGCGACATTCTGCTCTACCGCCGAAAGGACATTAATCGCCTGTCACCGGACGATGAGGAGAGCATCCACAATTCAATACAGACTAAGGATACTGCTGGTGACCGACCCAGCCCTAATCGAGTGCCCGATGTACGAGTGGAAGGGCTAGCAAAGCAGTCCTCAATATTTCATTGGAGTGATGTAGGGTACGATGTCATGGTGGGCAAGAAGGCAACTAAGATTCTGGATGACATCGACGGCTGGGTAGTCCCGGGCACTCTAACAGCCTTGATGGGATCAACGGGAGCTGGCAAGACCACCTTGTTAGATGTTCTTGCGAACCGGAAATCTGTGGGAATCGTGCATGGGGACGTTCGCATTGACGAGAAGCCGCGAGACAGGGGATTTCAGCGCAGGACAGGGTACGTGCAGCAGAGCGATATCCACCTACCATCGGCGACAGTTCGTGAAGCTCTCGAGTTCAGTGCGCTCCTCCGACAACCACGCAGTCTCTCGACGGCTGAAAAGCTTTCCTACGTAGACACCGTACTCCACATGTTGGAGATGGAATCGTACGCAGACGCGATTGTGGGGGTGCCGGGGAAAGGGCTCAACATCGAGCAACGCAAGCGACTGACCATTGCAGTCGAGATGGCAGCCAGACCAGAGTTTCTCCTCTTCTTAGATGAGCCCACGTCGGGACTTGATAGTCAAACGGCATGGTCCATTTGTACCCTGCTGCGCAAACTTGCAGACAGCGGACAAGCGATTCTGTGTACCATCCATCAGCCATCCGCCGAGCTGTTCCAGATGTTTGATCGTCTCCTGCTTTTGAACGGAGGAAGGACGGTGTATTTTGGAGATGTTGGACCTTCCGCGTCCACATTGATTGACTACTTTAAGCGATCCGGTGCCCGATCTCCAGAAAAAGCAGAGAATCCGGCAGAGTGGCTTCTCGATGTGACTAGCTCTGAAGGTGCTCTGGAATGGTCCAATATCTGGAGCCAAAGCGCCGAAAAACAAGCTGTCCAGCAAGAGATCACTCGGGTGAAGGCCGATGCTGAGCGGGTCCCAGCGAAAACAACTACTGGGACTCTTGATGACGACGACTATGCCTCGACATATTGGCAGCAGTTACGTCTCGTCACCTATCGGATGTTTCAAGATTACTGGCGAGATCCAACCTACCTTTACTCCAAACTTGCCTTGTGTGTTGGTGCTGTATGTTCCTTCTTGTTTTTCTATTTTCATTTTGGTCTCATAATCTGTGCTAATCTGACTTGAACTCCAGGCTTTCTTCAATGGAGTATCCTTCTGGTTCCTGGCCAAGGACGTTCAAGGGCTCACCAGCTCGCTCTTTTCCTGCTTTCTTCTCACGATAGTGTTCAACACGGTCGACCAGCAAATCATCCCGCGCTTCATTGACAATCGTGACCAATTCGAGGCTCGTGAGCAGCAGTCCAAGACATATCACTGGGCCGTCTTTGTCGCAGCCAACATGATCGTCGAAATTGTGTGGCAGTCCCTAACCTCTGTACTCGTTTTCGTGGCATGGTACTATCCAACCGGATTCTGGAGGAATGGCTCGCACGATAGTATGTTCACCATGGACCAACGGGCGATTTTGGTCTTCCTTCTCCTCTGGGTCTTCTTCATCTTCTCGTCCACGCTCTCACAAGCCATTGCGGCTGGAATGCACGACTCACTTACGGCCGTCAACGTAGCCAACCTTCTTTTCACGCTCTGTCTGGTCTTCTGCGGTGTTCTCGCGCAACCTGACGCATTGCCCCGATTCTGGATCTTCATGTACCGCGTGAGCCCAGTCACCTACCTGATGGAAGGGATGATCGTTGCTGCCCTCGCCAATACGAAGCTTCACTGCACAGCAAGCGATCTTGTTCGAGTCCCACTCCCCACGAAGGCAACTTCTTGTGGCGAGTATATGGCTTCCTACGTGAGTAGTGCAGGGGGGCAGGTGTTATATCCCGATACTACGGTCGGGGAATGCTTGTTCTGCGCGGTAGCCGACACGAACTCGGCGCTGAAGGTCTTGGGGATTGATGTCACTCACCGATGGAGAGATCTGGGTCTCCTGGCGGTGTATGTGCTGGTCAACGCGGTGGCGACGTTCTTCTTGTACTGGCTCGCGAGGGCGCCGAAAGGTACCAAGAAGGTCTAATACCGATCTTTCCGTATGTCTACCATGCTTAGAATGTCCGTCATACTCATATAAGTCTCTGGATATAAGGAATATAGGGGGTAAATAGGGTTATCTTATTTCTTGGAAACAAGTGAAATGAAGACAACAGGATCTAATAATAGATTTACTACGCCTTTCTCACGGTGCGTTCATTTATAGCTTTGTCTGAAGGAAACCGTTTCTTATTTACTATTATTTTATTAGTTTGGGGCGAATGAAATATTTTAGAATATTTTACAGCCTTGAAGCACTGATTTGACCTAAGTGATATGGGCCAAACTCGGCCACCCTCCCCACTTCAACGATGTCAGTATCCACACATTTGATTAATGATCTAGATGATCTCAGAGCCAGGGTATACACTCTGTGCGTTCCTCCGGAGTATCCTCAGTTCAGAAAGGGGAATCGGAGTTGCCGGAGTTCAGGTTAACCCTGGGGGAAGAGGGGTTGTCTAGAGCAGGGGTGATGAACAAGTATGCACATACGTACTTGATTTTCTAGCCAGGTCGACAGCCTTCCCTTTCCGTTTTAGTGCTCACCCCTTGCCGCTTTTTGCTCACTGAGTAGACCAGAGCACGCCCTGAGCAGCCTGAGGCAATTACTGAGCACGGGGTAAACGGAAGACTGAGTGCCCTGAATAAGTAACCTCAATAAACTGTACCCTAACTAGCGGTCTCTCCTTTGCCCGTTTCTTTATACCGAGTTTACTTTTGCCCGCTACACTCCTCAAAAAACCCAGCACTGCCATCACGAAAATGACGAATCAGGGAAGCTATTTTTCCTTCTGATGCCCACGACCTTTTCCCCAGAAGGAAATGCTGTACTATCGCGCTGTACTAACATGGCCAATATTGTTCTGGGATTTCTCCGTCGAAAGACAGTACAAGCCCAGATGTTTATGGGAGCGGCCCTGGATATCCCAAGAGTCAAGGAATTCTCGGAACACCAATTAACGCTAGTCTATAGATATTTTTTGAATTTTGATCCCGAATATCTACGTGGTAGAATGGTATGCCAATGTTTCCCTATCAAAATGAATAATACTGATTAAAAGAATAAAATTCGAAAATGAGGACGTAGTGTTGATTATTTGTGGCTATCCTGGCCTGGAAGGCTTGATAACTACAGTATAAAGTTATAAGGTTCATTTTAATCGGGTTAAAATCCTTACATGAAGCCCTATTCTTTCTTGTCCAAGCAATCTGTAGACATTGCTAGCATGATAGTCGATACCTAGTACATGTGTCAGTAGACGTCATACGAAAAATTCGCACGGAAATCACTGAATGATATCATAACCTACGCATTGTGACGGTCTACAAAGGGGCCTGGTATAAGACAAGTTTGTTTATGACTCGTAGTCAAGGAATTTTCCCATGGGGAAGAAAGGCTATCTAGAAGGGAGGATGTAGAGGCTCTATATACTGCCCGAGGCTTCGCCTCAGGCAGGAATGCCTGCAGAGCATCCAGGAACCTTCCTGGATGCCTTCCGGAGGGTCCCTAGATCCTATACTAACTAACCGGAACGTTCCTCCCGAACGTTCCTCCGCACCGGGAAGTTCCCTGGCTTCAGGATGTCACAGTTAACTAGAAACGGATGCTTCAGACGAGACGATTGCAGGAGTTCTCTCTCAGGAATTCGAAAGATTCTGGTACCCGGTTGTTTACTACTCTAAGTCTATGTCAGGTCCCGAGCGCAACTATAATATCCATAACAAAGAGATGCTGGCAATCATCCACGTTCTAGAAGAATGGTGTCCTGAGCTAGAGAGACTGCAACGAACTGACCGGTTTAGTATATAAACTGATTACCGGGCACTAGAATACTTTATAACTAAAAGAAAGTTTAGCCGACGGCAAACGCGCTGGTCTGAGTATCTGTCCCGTTTTTATTTCCTAATTCGATTCCGTCCCGGAAAGAGCAATGTGATTGCAGATATCCTCTCACGGAAGGATTACCGCGGGAGGACTGGTAATAACTACAATATCTAACAGATGATACCGGATGATGCCCTAGAGCAAGCTATCCGTGACGAACGTACGCTAATCACGCAGCTCTGCGTTCTCAAAAACCTGGAGAGGATCAAAATTGTTAAATGCTAGCTGCCAACTGATCTGCTCCCTCACTGGAGAGCCAGCGTGCCCAGGCACAGAAATCAAGTGATACCTAGTTGTTGCAGAATAGACTACTCCTGTACCAGAGACGTCTTTTAATCCCGGAAAAAGATCTAGAGCTGCGTACCCGACTTTTAGAGAAAATATACAGTTAGCGTTTAACCGCTTATCCAGAACGCATGAAGACCCGTCGCCTTTTCCAGCAATAATTTTACTGGCTGAAATGGGGTCGAGATATAGACCGCTACATCCGAAACTGTCAGTATCAAGTAGATAAGATCCTTAGGGATAAGACTTCCCGCCTGCTCCAATCGCTACCGGTTCCCGTTCGGCCATGGTAGCACATCTCTATGGATTTTAAAGAGTTCCCGAAGGACAAGAGTAGATTCGACATGGCCTTTGTAGTAGTTTGCCGGTTAAACAAGCAACCAGTGTCAGTTCCCTGTCATAAAAAGATCGGAGCACGGGGTATGGTACGCTTTTTCATTAAACATATCTATTGATACTACGAGATACCGGATTCTGTTGTCTCTGACCGGAGACCGCAGTTCATCTCTGAATTCACGAATTCTGCCGAATCCTGGGTATAGAGCTGCGGCTCAGCACAGCTAGACATCCGCAAATAGATGGTCAGACTAAGGCGATTAATCAGCATATTAGGATACGCTTGCGACCATTCGTAAATCACTATCAGGACAATTGGGAGGAGTTACTGCTAATGTTGGATTATGCTGCCGTTATCTTGGTCCAAGAGTCAATACAGATGACGCTCTTCGAGGTAGTGCTAATGTACCAGCCCCGGACCTCATTTGATTGAGATCGACCTGCCGATAAAGCTCCGGTCCCTGCCCGAATTCGCCTGGAACGAGAGAACGCGCTCAAATATGTTCAGATATTGCATAAAGGATGAGACTTTGCTGGCGAACAGATAGTAATAATTCAGGAAAGACAAGCTGTCTAAACCAATAAATACTGCCGGGAGCCAGATTTCGGAGTTAATGATAAGGTCTGATTATCTATAGAAGGATTGAGCACAAGTCGACCAAGCAGGAAACTGGATTACCAGAGACGTGGGCCTTATAAGATTACAGCACAGAAAGGACACGCATTTAAGCTAGATCTCCTTCCGGAGATGAGGATCTATGATAACTTTGCACTGGATCGCCTTCAATTAGCTGCAGACGACCTATCGCCGGGCCAGCGACCCCCAGCGACAGAACCGGTAGAGATACACAGTAAAAATGAATAGGAAGTTGACAAGATCGTGACAAGCCGACTTTACTACAAAAAGCTGCAGTATCAGGCCAAATGGAGTAACGCAGATGATAATCCGACCTGGTATCCGGCGAGCAACTTCATCGGCTGTCTGTCACGGACTGTGACCAGCCTCCGAAGACGTTCCTTCGCGATACCCTATGACCTAACTACCCGATCGGGACTAGCTTCACAACGTAGCTTAGTTTCTTCGTTGAATGCATATCCTACATTTTCGCGATTTCTTATCGCCAGCGTAGCCGTTCGTCACAATATGGAGCCAAGAGTTCCCTTTTTTTGGGTCGCAGGGGTAGCTCATCCTTATCATATCATTTAATGGTGTCATTAGTACCAATATAGCCAAACCATCATTCCATCCCTGTGCCTTCGTACGCACTATAGCCAGTCCATACCCCCAACTTAATACGCTGCTTACCAAATGCTATTACAGGCTTCAAAGATGCCCGACAGTCACGTTCTCTCCTGCTATAGTACCAATGTTAGTCTGAAAATTGAGCTGTCATCCCATCCCTTACAAACCCGGAACAAGATATAGTTTAGCTCTGTCACGACTGTCCAACCCATTTCTGTAATGTGTAATACTGGAGCATCGGTATAGCGATACTGCTCTCTCGTTCTCAAGCCGATACTTGCCCAGACATGGAATTAGTAGGAAGCTTGTATCGCATCTTCATTGGTTGCGTCGAAAGGAAAAACCTATAACTCCCGTTACATCGCCGAGCGTCACCGGAGAAGCTGCTAATAAGGATCCATAGATAGGTCGAGCTCATGAACCCTGGAAATTAGTGGGGATGCCAGTGATTGTTAGATTACATACTTTGGTGTGGAGGAGCTAGTTGAGATAGTTCGATTACTCAAGTTGACCCGATTTAAATTAACAGAGACATCTGAGACTCTGTGTGTGCTCATGAACATTGCCTAGGCCTTAACCTAAGTCTCGTATACGTAAAGACCTTTTCCCCTGAGGCATTTTCTTAGCCATACACTTCACACAACTAAAAGCCTCGATAGTATCAAGGGATTATGTACGAAGATCCATCGAAAGGGATTCCGTAAATTGTCCTCCTAAATCGCATTGACATGCTGGAAGCTCGGACTACGTGTCTGAAAGAATTACCTAAACGATGATTTTTGAGCTCTTTTCTTTACTGCATCAGAAGGCAAACCGGCAATCCATACATGAAAAACAGAAGAAGTCATGGAAGCTAATTTGGTTTAACGAGTAAGGGTCTCAGCATAGGCCCGCAAAAAAGACTGTACTAGAAACAGAACGATGAAACCACCACCCAGAAGAATGCCCAGATCACGGTGCCTCTCCCGACATACTGCTATATCAAGGCCTTGATAGTAGCAACAGAAAAGATAAAACGTCAGTGGCAGTGTTATGGTACATATACCCCATCTATGTGTTGATGTTGTTAGATTTCCCTGGTCATAACGAGCCGATCAGTACAGCACATACATGGTAAATACCCGGCGAGAAAGATGGACCAGACGCCACATGAAGGGCCTCGAGGGAGGATCTTGCCGAGTCGGGGTTGAAGGGGCCTCCTGCGTTGGTTTGGTTGCACACATGTTGTTGTTGTTGACCCGGACGGACCACGAATGAACAATTCTTCGGGGCCTAGGGGAGCACATCATATTTAACAATTTCTGTGGCCCACTCATGTTAGCCCTAGGGACTTCCCACGGGCCCCGAAAAATGGTTTTATGCGCTAATGCGGCCATGTCTCACCGGGCCCAGGTACCCTATGATGATCGGAGCGGTAGCGGCCCCACACGCCGCTGGCCCGATGGGACTAGGTAGGGAGCTCACTTTATGCATTGTCATAGCATCGGCAAAGTTAACTCGGTTGTGAACAAGCGCAATACGTCAGGAAGTATTGAGAACTCAGTTTACGGGGCAGCTGTTTAGGTCTGGTCATAGCTATTCACAGAATCTTGTCGCCTGTGACGTACTTCCGCCGCAATGGATTTCAGTAATGTGACAGAATATGACGCATTGAAGCCCTTGACTACCAGGGAATAGTCCTTTTAAGTATAGTGGAAAGACTGCAACAAGGAAATGACCGGGCAAATTAGGTACTATTCCATGAACGAATTGTCAGAGCGAACGATCTGCAAGTTCACACCCTGTTTACATACAACACACTGGAGAGCCCTCCCAAAAGATAGAAGAAGAAGGAAAGAAGGAATAAAAGAAGGAGAAAAAGAGGGAAGGAAAGAAGGGTCAGGGGAAGAAAAAAGAATGCTAAGAAACGCAATGGAGAAAGAAGGATTAGAGTAGGCTTGCCAGACCACCACAAACATCCACACTCTCGTAGTTCAGACCGAATCCCTTGACCTCGGGGATAATGCGATAGTAGAAGTCAGCCTTGTATTTGTCCTTCACAAGGCCAATATACTCCGACATTGTGAAGACGCGCTGTGACTAGTCGACAGCAATAGCATGAGCCATATCATTCTTCTGGGCTTTGTTCAGAGCAGCAGGCTGGCGTGTGGTAAAGGAGACTTTGAACCCTGCTTGACTGAACCCAGCGCGCTTACTCATGTCAGAAGGATTAGCCGCAAGGGCTTGGTTAGGACCCCCAAGATGCAGTACTGTCCCGCCATTGCTGTAGTGATTGAAAGCAACGTCGTGGGTAGTATTCTCCCTCTTGAGGCCCCGCACAATGGTACGGTGCATAAGATCCGGCTCGTCACTGCTTCGTTTATGATGTGTCAAGGAAACAATGTCAACCTCTTCCACAGTATCGTAGTCGGATCCCATATCCCTTATCGATTGCTGGATCATTTCCGTGTATGTCATGTTGGTCAGGCTTCTGGCATCAATGGATGTCCGCTCCTGATCTGTGGAGACACCACTAGACCCCTCGACCCTTCCTCTTGTTACTGCAATTGCAAAAATGCCATTCACAACCCACTGGATCTCTTTGATCCACCAAACACAGTCATTGTCATGATAGCGTTCGCATACATCACTGGCAAATTTGGCGCCAAGGTTCAACAGTGCTAGCCTATACATGACAGTCTTAGCCATCGGTAAGTGTTGGAACGATGTTATCAACCAGACCAGAGAGGTGGAGTATCTTGGCCTAATCCACATACCGCACAGCACCTTGCTTGGCCTAGACTTGGCCTACCATTCCAAATGGCATACCAAGGGATCAGGAATGCATAGGTGTAAACAAGTGGAACTATAAATAGCTAGGCAGATTGTAGTTTAGAAATGACACTTCACTTTTACCTACCGAGCATATACCTACATTCAGTTGAATCGATAGGATATCTGCTTAGGGCAATGACCAAGTCAACCGACAGTAAGAGAGTAAATATCTGATACATACTGTGCAGTGGTGTCTGATATAACTCTGATCAGGGTGCCACTTAGCCGGCCGCATATATTACGGTTCTCTAAGTGAACAATCGAATCGTGTGCCTCATTTGGAGTTGAGAGAGTTGAGGAAACATGCTCGCTAAAGCTCAGATCTTTGGATGACATTTTCATAGAAACAGGCTCAATAGAAGGAGCTGCCACGCCGAGATAGCTGAGTGAAACTAGAGGAAGAAGAAGAAATTGAGGTTTCATGGCAGAAAACTTTGAATATGGAAAGGTAAATTTTGAAGAAGACCGAGAGATGGGAAAACGACGGAACATACTGGCTTTTTTGCGAGAACTTATACCCGGCTCATGTGCTTTGAGCATGCTAAGCCAATTCTCATAATGTAACCCTATGTCCGCTATGGACTACGTGAGTCGAGATATTGAGGTGGAATTGTGGATACTGGCAATTGTACTTGGGATCAGTCCTAATGTGTCTTGCGCTAATAAAAATCTTCCCCCTGTCCATGAATCCTTCTGTGACCAATGGAGAGAGTATGAAGCCGGGACCTGGAGCTTATAGCAAGCAGATATCTCCATATAAAAGGGAACGCGGTCCACCATGGTAACCTATACTACGCTATGAAAGAGGGGTTTGCTCAGTAGATTAGGCGTTTCCACTTCGATATGTTCCGGCGTACTTCGAGATATTATGGGTCGTCATTAAACCAGTGATGTAGTCGTACGAATCGGCCGTAGTCTGCGAATTATCCAATAGACCTATGTTGATAATGCCTCAGAAGCTACATTTAAATGGACTGTAACGTATATGAAGTATCCTGTAGTATGTCACGTAGTTCTATTTGGAAACAATTCCAATACCCAGGCAATGCAACACCCAAAAAGGTCAAGTTTGTACAGAACGGATGAATGCAAGTTCCTATCGTTTGAACTCCACGGGCGGTAGTGGTAAGCGTGGATTCAAATCCGTATCAGAGACATACTCCGTAATTGCTAATTTTGCCCTAGAATCGGGTACATTACATTAACAACGTGTTATGTAATGTCTACCAGGAACTGTTACCTCTACAACGTCGCTGTACGCTCCTATTGAGCAGGTTAAATGGCTCAAGTGGGTTTCCTGGAAATGGTATACTAGTCATGCACTATGGAGATGCCGTTTTCATATGGCTCAATTCTCCTAATGCGCCCTACACACGTATAATTGAGAGTCTATCCCCTCGTCCGTCCGGGAAGCACAATTAACGCATTTCAATTAGTGTATTATATTAACCAATTGATTAGCGGACTAAAATCTACGACATATTATTGGATGTAATGAATCCACTATTTACTAGGTTCTTAACGCGTATTTTTTTATACGCGTTTTCATATCTCTCTCACCATATAAGAAATCCCTTAACCAATCTACTATATAATCTACTATACAATCTGCTATACAATCTGCTATACAATCTGCTATACAATTCGCTATACAATCTGCTATACAATTCGCTATAATTAAAAAGAAATCTATTACAGCTACACATAAGCGTAAACTTGATAAAATTATCGCTAAATTACCTACCAAAGAAGAACTCTTTCAGCAACTTCAGCACTTGACCCCTATCTCCGAACCTCTACGGTTACAGCTACCCAGTGGCTTAGACCTAGAGAGCCTATACGCGATATTTACCCTCTTTATCAGCGAAGAGATCTTTGAATTTATCAGCCAGTCTACTAACCAATACGCGCAGCGAAACCTAGCGAAAGATTTTACTACTAGCCGTATGTGGAAGGACACTACTACCGCAGAGATTAAGGTCTTCTTTGGTATCCTTATCTATATAAGGGTTCATCTAGAGCCACGTATTGATTACTATTGGAAGCAGAATGAAAAAGAGGGGCCTTTGCATGTTTTTCGGCTTTATATGACCCTAAAACGTTTTAAGCAGATTAAGCACTATCTTCATATATTTCGGCCAGACAAAGAGCAAAAGGATATTAAGCAGTGGTAGTATAAACTAGAGCCTTTAGTCTCATCCTTTAATAAGGCAGCTCAAAAGCACTACCGGCTAGGTTTAAATATCTCTATCGATAAGACTATGATTTGCTGCTTTGGGCGTACAAAGCATACCGTCAAGATGCCAAATAAACCAATTGAGCAAGGATATAAGATCTTTGTCTTTGCAGAATATAGCTATATCTGGACCTTTACATGGAGTAGCCGTCTATAGGGAATCATGGAGCTATTCAGATATCCTGGCCTTAGCCCTACCGCATCGATGGTACTAGATATGATTAAGAAGCTTCCTGGGCTAACTAATCTACCTGTCAATCTACCTGTCAATCTGTCTTCCAATTCGTCTGCCAATTCGTCTGCCAATTCGTCTGAATTCGTCTGCCAATTCAGCGCCTTATACAGTTTATATGGACAATTATTTTGCGACAGTCCCCCTTTTCAAAGAACTACGAGATCTACACTGTGGAGCCTGTGGTACTACACGACCTAGGAGTGGGATACCCTCTCAACTTGTTGAGCTAAGGGACCATATTAAGTCTATCCCATGGGGTACCTTATATGCGTCTGAAGCTCAGGGAGTCCTCTGTCTCGCTTAATAGGATAATAATATAGTATTTCTACTATCTACTATCCATTCGCTAGAGATATATACTATTACTGAGCGGAAACAGCTATCAATAATCTCTACAAATATCTCTATTGCGCGCGCCCCTTTTGATAATGATATAATAAAGAAGCTAGAGATTTCTACTGCAATTGATGACTACAATCACTATATGGGTGGGATAGATATTGCAAATCAATATAGGGCTTCTTATAAGATTCATCGGAAGAGTAAACGTAATTGGTTCCCACTTCTTTATTTCTTTTTTGATGCTGCGATTGTTAATGCTTACCGTATCTAATATCTCTATAAGAAGTAGCAGGGGACTAGTGAGCTTCCTAGTCAACTAAATTTTCAGAAGAAGCTCTATAAGGAACTCTTTACTTTTGTACCTTCACCAATACCAATACCAGGACCTGGTATAAATCACCAGCGAATTCAATTCGATAAGCAAAAGGCTTGTATCTGGTGTCAGCATAAGAGACTAAAAGGAAAAAGGGGTAAACAGGCTAATCGATCAAGATCTGGCTGCTTTGAATGTGGTAGTGTGGCTCTATGTGTAAAAGGGCAATGTTGGGATGAATTCCATAGAAAATAGCTAATTCGAATTAGGCTTAATTAATTACACTGCTTCTGATTACTGAAGCATTACCATGATTAGCCAATTAGGACGCGTTGCCATGTATACGCTAGTAAAATACGCTAATTGTGCTTCCCGGACGGACGAGGGGATAGTGACATATGTACAGTACTTATAACCCTACAACTCCCTATCACAAACATCATGTTTGACTCTCTCCATCTTCGGTCATCCCGCAAATCCATAGTTCTAGGATCAAAGGGCTAGCAATTCACCACAATGCCTGTTTCTCGCTCTCAGCAAATCCTACTTCGCAATGGAACGGTTCTAGTCCACGAAGGAACCCACGTCAAGCCACTGCTCGGGCATGATCTCTTAATCGAGGGAAACACGATCAAGAAGATCGGCGAAGGTCTACAGTTGCCAGCCGGTGGTAAGGAGGTCGATTGTACCAGGAAGATCATATCCCCTGGGTTTGTGGATACTCATCATCATGTGTGGCAGACGCAGGTAAGAGTCAGGGAGCGATGGAGTGAATCAGCGCTCTAGTTTTGCTAACTGCGTGCCACAGCTGAAAGGGCGTCATTGTGATCATACTTTGATGCAGTACTATCCTACCGGTATGGATTCAGACACTTTCAGCGCCAGTGCTTCTTTCTTTCGTCCGGTGCGACTGACGTATGTCCAGGAAATATGCAGCCCTTCAACTACGAGCCCGAGGATGTCTTCTGGGGACAACTTGGGGGCTGTCTACAGAGTATCGACGCCGGCGTGACCACCGTCGTTGATCATGCGCACATGTCCTATTCTCCGGAGCATGGTATGGAGTGTTCAAGTAGTCAACACATGTGCATACCTCACGTATACTAACCCATGGACCTAGTGGACGAGGCAATTCGGAGCTCCGTGTCCTCCGGCATTCGCACGTTCCTCTGCTACACCCCGATCCCACTGATCAAGAGCTGGTCGTCGACCCTAGAGTACGAGGAGGAATTTCCTCCATCCTGGTGGTTGGCAACCCTTGAGCGTCTCCTCAAAAACGAGCCGTTTGGCAACGGCCGGGTGAATATAGGCGTTGCTCTTGATTTCATATACCACTCCGATATCGTCCTCGGTCTGTGGAAGAAGGCCAAGGAGCTGAATGTAAAGCTCTTGACTTCGCATTACGTTCCGCGGTTTGACGCGAGTACGTAGCTCCCATCTACTCACCCTTCTTGCCCTCTCTATAGATGCAAATGCTGACATTTCATCCAGTCAGCACCGTACAGCTCCTCTCCGAGCACAATCTCCTCAGCCCTAGCATCGTTTTGTCTCACACCAACGACTTATCCGACGCCGACGCCCACAGCCTCGTGAAGAACGATATCTTTGTCTCCGCGACCCCCGAAACAGAGCTCCAGATGGGCCACGGCCATCCCGTCGCATTCCACCCCACTCTTAAATCCCACACTTCGCTCGGCATCGACTGCCACTCTAACAACTCGGCTGACATGCTCACCCAGATGCGCCTCGCCTTGCAGCACGCGCGCGCAGCCCATAACCAGACCACCTTGAGGGCTAGCGAGCCGCCGCGCGTCGACATCACCGTCGAAGAAACCTTTAATCTGGGTACGATCCAGGGCGCCAGGGCTGTGAGCATGGCAGATCAGATCGGTAGTCTTGCCGAGGGGAAGAGGGCCGATGTTGTGGTCTTCGACGCGACGAGTCCCGGCATGATCTGTGCCGCCGACGAGAATCCCGTAGGTGCGATTCTCCTGCATGCCGGGGTGCGTGATATCGAGATGGTGATTGTGGATGGGCAGGTGAGGAAGGAAGGGGGACGGTTACGGCCGGTGAAGATCCTGGAGAGAGTGGATGCAGAGAGAGGGGTCGAGATTGGTTGGGATGAAGTTGCTAAACATCTTCTGGAGAGTCGGGAAAGAATCATTCAGAGAGGTCAGGGGCAGGATGTTGGGGCTGCTAAGCTGTGGTAAATTGGTACCGCTTTTTTGGGGATTAAAGACAGTTGATGCGTATGTCTTTGTTTTACATGTACAACACAGTACCCCTGATCGGGAACAGCCATGCTACATGTCATAAAGAAATCCCCGGAAGTTGTACACAAAGAACTGTCAGTGCTTGCGGCCTGTGCACACTGATCTGTCCCGGGAATTAGCAGCCAAGCCGTCGGCTGCTACTCTGGATATTAGTATGACGTATCAGCGCCAGTTGGAGTCGGATAGATGCTGTCCAACGGATGATCCTGAGCGTTGAGTGATGAGGGAGAGATGAAGCTATTCAGAAGGAGAAGGAGGAGATCCGGGGAGATTAGATAAGCATCGCAGCCCCAGAGTGTATGGACTTTGGGGGTACAAAAAGATCACGTCAAGAATGCGCAATTCAAGGCTATTGATATTCTTGATACCAACTGAGGGGAAGCTCTTTGTCCTCTGTCGATTTCAGTGGGGATCTGTCATACCCTGTACACCTACTACTGCTGTACCCAGCAAAAAGGAATGCTCATATCGGCAAATCCACCTGTAGGCAACCAGAAACGTGACCGGGGCCGTTTTCGGTGCTGTCGCTGAACCATCAACTGCCCGATCGCAGGCCTCTCTTTCGCTCTCTCCCCTCCGGAATCATTTTCGGCGAATAAGCTGTGGTGGTGCGCGACGTTGAGGAATTCCTTCGGCCAGCTCTTTTCCCCTTTCCTCCTTCGATCGGCCGCCGCTCCTGCGCTCCCTCAACGTCTTCCACTCTCCCACCTCTCGACCGACCGTTACGCCCCCATTGCCTCTCCGATTCCCCTCCCTCCTCTTTTTCGACTGCCAGCCTCCATCGAAATCGTCTACTATACTCTGCGTTATAATTTAATCCGAAAGCGATACCGATCCTCGTGGTGGTGGCAACCGAGCTTCCATCGTGCCACAACTCCGCACGGGTGGCGGAATCCCTCAGCACTTGCCTATACTCTCCCCAGCTGACCCGAATCCTGCTTCCTTGCGCGGATGGGTGCTTCCTTGCGTAGTCCACGCAGGAACTTGGCCAGGAGGTAATCGGTACCAGTCGGCATTCCGATCGAGCAAAGGAAAACACATCTCCCGAAACGATAGGACCCGTTTTCGACGGTTGCACCTTCCATGAAGGATGAGCTCGGTTCCAGGTGCCGCCGTTGACCACCCCGTCGACTCCTCTGTCGGCGATTCTCACGCCGTTTCGCATGCCTCGGAGACTCCTCGTCCGGTAGAGTCCACGGATGCGCCATCATCATCTGAGGGGGATAAGGAACAGAAACCCACTGGTGGCTCCGCTGGAAGTAAAGCGGACGATAAGCCGTCCGCGGATCATACTGGTCAGGATGCGGGATCTGGACAAGTGGAGGAACTAGACGACTTCGGTTTGCCGATTCGACCGCGTGCCAACCCTGCCCGGTCGCCGACTGAGTCTTCCGAAGACACTCAGGAGTTCCACGATGTTCAGGAGGCCGCTGCGGACACGACAGACGACGACAAAGCGAGTAAACCGGGAGAGCAAGTGATTGCAGACAAGCCAGAGGAGGAACGAGAACAGCAATCAGTACCCCAGAACGACGTATCGGAGAATTTGGAGCCTGGAAAAGAGGAGACGCAGCCTACGATTGCAACCCCTACTGCAACTTCTACCGCATTTTCTACTCCGCAGAAGACAGAGACCCCCCAGGAGGCTGAACCGACTCCACCCAAGACCAACGACAAGAATGAAATCTCCGGCATCTCCCCGGACCATGAAGATGGGCCACCACCGCCATACACAAAGGATCCAACTCCACAAAATACAGCTCTCTCGACTCAACCGGAGACCACGCGTCAGAAACGGGCAAGTCTCAAAGCTTCGGAATGGTCACATCAGCGACTCAATGAAGCCAAGGAATCCGAAAGTGAGCCTGAGGAAGAAGACGATGGTGGGTGGAAGGAGATGCCCGCTGTAGATGAGTTTGATTTTTACGACGATTATGGACGTCTTGTCGTGCGCGGCGCCAAAACGGAGAGTAACGAAGCAGTTTATCAAGGACTAGGAGGTGCTGGAAAGGGGTACACTCGTGTGCAACTTGACGAGGATGCCCACTCAGTGACGAGCTTGGACGAAGACACGAGCTATCTTTTCAAAGAAAACAGTGCCACAGCGGCTGGCTTGGAGGGGGAAGAGATGCGTGATCCCTTAAGTCAATTACAGGCGACCAAGGACTTACTTAATGAAACCCAAAAAATCGCGTACGTTGGCGTGGTCAGACTTGCTATTCATCAGATTGCGTCGGATATGGAGAAGATACCGGTCACCAGAGGCACCCGCAAGGCAAAGCAAAAAAGCATCGACTCGATGCGAAAATGGGGTCAAGCGATGATGTCGAGGGTCTATTTTCACATGGATATCGATTCCGCAGAGCAGATCATGATCGAGCAACTGGCAGAACACGGCGTCCAGCCTGCTGATCTTGTTCGGCCGCTCATGCAGAATGCCCGCGTTCACAATCCCTTGGCAGACGAGCAAGACATCTCCAGGAAATCTACGTCTTCCCTAGCCTCCCCCGGCGTAAGAAAGAATTTCAGGAACAGTTTATCCACGGAGATTGACCGGTCTTCCACCTCCACGTCCCCTCCACCCTATGAAACCCACGAAGGGGAAGACCTGCCCGAGGTTCGTACGCCTTCCCAATTACCCACTTCGGAGAAAATCGATATAGATCTCCGCTGGACGGTGCTATGCGATCTGTTTCTAGTCCTCATCTCCGATTCTGCTTACGATGCGCGGTCTCGGACCCTACTCGAAAGAGTGGGCGAATCCATGGAGGTTTCGTGGCTTCAGATTGCACGATTTGAAAAGCGTGTGATCGATGCCCTCGAAATGCAAGAGGCTGCAGAGAAGGAGACCTGGGACGAGTCGGAGCACATGGAGGCACGACGTAAGAAGGCTTTGAAGCGTCGGTACATCACTATGGGCTTGGCCACCGTGGGTGGTGGACTCGTCATCGGTCTTTCTGCTGGACTGCTGGCTCCTGTCATCGGTGCCGGTCTCGCCGCTGGATTTACCACCGTGGGAATTTCCGGTACTGGAGCTTTCTTGGGAGGTGCAGGTGGCACAGCATTGATCGCATCAAGCGCTACCTTGACCGGAAGCTCGATTGGAATGAGGGCTTCCAAGAGGCGCACGGGTGCAGTTCAGACCTTTGAGTATCGTCCTTTGCACAACAACAAGAGGGTGAACCTGATTGTCACCGTAGCAGGCTGGATGACCGGTAAAGTCGATGACGTCCGGCTGCCATTCAGTACGGTTGATCCCATCATGGGTGATCTGTACTCGGTCCTCTGGGAGCCTGAAATGCTTCGGAGTATGGGTGAAACCATCAACATTCTCGCTACTGAGGTGAGTCAACGCCTAGTCTAGAGATTCGCTCTTCCTGGTAACTAACCACTGTACGACAATACTAGGCCTTGACGCAAGGACTGCAGCAAGTCCTAGGAAACACAGTTCTGGTCGCTCTAATGGCATCTTTACAGCTTCCTATGATCCTGACGAAACTGTCATACCTAATTGACAACCCCTGGAATGTCTCGCTGGTCCGCGCAAGCGCGGCAGGTCTCATCCTTGCCGACTCTCTGATGGACCATAATCTCGGAAAGCGACCAATTACCTTACTTGGCTTCTCTCTCGGTGCGAGAGTCATCTTCTCCTGCCTTAGAGAACTTGCAGACAAGGGTGCGCATGGACTTGTTCAGAACGTCTACATGTTCGGATCGCCCATAGTAGCCAGCAAAGATGATTATCTGAAAGCCCGAAGTGTCGTCTCTGGCCGCTTCGTCAACGGCTATTCCTCCAACGACTGGATTCTAGGATATCTTTTCCGTGCTACGAGCGGCGGTATTATGCGTGTGGCCGGTCTCGCCCCCGTCGAGGGGATTCCCAATCTGGAAAACTTCGACGTCACCAAATTGGTGAATGGCCACATGGATTACCGTGCAGCAATGCCTCGACTATTGAAGGAAGTTGGATGGGAAGTCCTGGGCGAGGAATTTGCCGAGATTGAGGATCCTGACCCTGAAAATCACAACGAGCGACAGCGGGAATTGATCCGAGAGATCGACGAAGCTCGGCGGGAGGCTGAAGCTAAGCCGGAGAAGAAGCGATTCGGACTTTTCAAGCGAGGAAAACTGGCGCAAAAGAAGGGATGGGAGACCTACGATGTGGACCGCAATAATGCCACTCCTCGAGAGTCGAGCGACAGTAACGGAGCCGGGACGGTGCTATTTGACATCGATGCGATCAAGGCTGAACTTGCTTCGGAAAGCATTGAAGTCAAACAGCTTGAGTCGACGCTTCCACCCATGAAGTTAGACTTGAACTCCCCTTCGAGTCCCTCTGCTGCTGCTTCAGCGGCACCATCTCCGTCAGCCGGCAAAGACACCAAAAGTACGGGTACAAGCCAACCTGTCTCTCCATTGCCTCCAGACCCAGTCGACAAAAAGGGTACCTCGGACACGCATCATTCTCCCTACCATGAAGAAGAAATCGAGATGACATTCGACACCCCTTACCACGAACCCCCACAACGTTCGCAGTCATCGTTCGGGAAGTCTTCCCATGACCCCCACGAGCCCCAACCTGCAAGGCCCGAACTCCGATCTTCAAACACGTTGCCAGTTGGAGTCGGAGTCGGAGCTGGGATGGGAGTAGGCGCCAGCGCACTCGGTGCCATGGCTCTCGAGCAAAACGCCTGGGCCGATCACGACATAGGCAACGGAGAGGAGGGTGAAATCTCCATGTATTTCGAGTGATGATGGGCTTTATGACTCTATATGCTAGACCGGTGCTATACGATCTTCGCGGACCAACTCGCTCACCGAGTACGACGGGATCACGATACGAATCTTCTATCTGTTTAATTCTCTTATTACCGACTGGTTGGGGGTAGACCTTTGTGCATAATAATCTTTGTTCTTGCATATCATTCCTGTTTGCTACATGCTGTTATTATTGTTTGCTTCATCTTTCTTTCTATCCTGCTTCTGGCATTTGTGTGGACATTTAGTGGTGTCCTAGCGACGCGGCGTCTGCATATACATTCTGAAGATATTGGTTCTAAAGTCTACCATTGTGTTAGAACTTTAATTCATGACAGTCACATCAATTCCTCATAGAGATTCTTTCTAAATAAAAAATAATAAATAATAATAAAAAAAGCACACAAACCTGTAGTGAGGGAGGTTGTACAGACCAGGCGTCCCCGTGCGAGCGGAGACTTTCGATTAGCAGCTGCGGAGAAACGCCTCGATAGCGTGTCACCTCACGCGTCCCTCTCTCTCTCTCCTCTCCTCCATCCTTCGGCCCCCTACATGTGCTCCTGTCTGCTATCTACACCGGTCGCCAATGGATGAATGTCTATAACTTATTCAGACTCTACTACAGTATCTTTCCGACAGATGAAACATCTGCAATCACTGGCCGGGGTTTGTTGACGGACTCCGCAGCTGCTTGCCGCAACCCGGCTTGACGTGATCATTCGTCAAAGAAAAGTATCCAGCAACTATTCAAATCTAACTTTTATTCACCTTCCGTGACCCTCGCCGTCCCATCGAGTCGATCCCTTCGAGTGTCCGAGTCTCCACGATCAATCCATAACCCCTACAAGATGGTCCAAACCCGACCGAAACGCAATGCGAGCTATGCGTCGAACCGCTTGACGAAGAACAATGGACCGCAGAATAGTCTCTTGTCGAATTTTAGAAGACCAGACAAGGACGTTGAGACGGATACTGTGAAGGCTGAGAAGGACGAAAAACCTCCCAAACCGGAACCTGCCACGGACGATGAGCCCGTCAGCTCCAGCGACGAGGACACCAAGCTCGGTGCGGAGACCGAGTCGGAAGATGAAATCAGACCCCGCGCGTCGGAGGAGAAGCTCGAGGACAAGATGGCAAAGAGCTCGCCGAAAAGCGAAAAGGAGCTAGGAACCCCTCGTTCCGGGAAATCGCCGCAGAAAGGACGCAAAAGGGCCGCAACGGGCCCAGCTCCCCTGGATAAAGATGATGATGGCATGTTTCTGGAATGGAGATCGTCGCAACCCAACAAAAGACGTAAATCGAACATATACCCATCCAAGAGTCACCGCCCCTCCGATGTCAGCGCCAGAGAGCCGCGTTCGAGTATGGCTTCTGCGAAGTCGGAAACGCCTCCTGCGAGTGCTCGCAAGGCAAAACCTAAGGCAGGCAAGAAGGCGGGGACCACATCGGCGAAGAAAACAGAAAAACCGAAACCTGAATTTAAAGTCCCGATTGGCGCCGATATCGATAGCCCTAATTCCAGTTCCAAGACTCGGTCCCAACCCGAGTTCAAGGTGCCACCGTTCCCTACGGATGGGATATCGAGCTCTTCCTTCGCTACTTCGTCTGCTCGTGAACCACCGACTTTGGACTTTGACGACGATGACTCTCCTCTCAGCACACCCCTTAGCTCTGCTTCCTCGACATTCATGCGACAGTTCGACCTGGACGATGAAATGCTCGCCGTGAAGGATGAGTTAGAACAAGTTGAATCCAAAGAAGGATCATTCTGCCCGATGTGCAAGCAGGCCGTGGACCCAGAACTCCTGATGCGGTTTCAAAACCAACCAAGACAACGGATCCGCGATCAGAAGCGATTCTGCGAGTCGCACAAGCAGCAGTCTGCCGAATCGGAGTGGCAGGAGAAGGGGTATCCCAGCATTGACTGGGATAAATTCGACGGCCGCATCAACGGTCATTTCGACTACATTGACACACTCTTGTCCTCCCAGAGTCCTTCCTACTTCAGGAACATCTTAGACACCACCATGAAGTCTGGCAAGGCGCAGAATTTCCGACTGACACTCGCTGGAGACGGTCTGGAGAGGATCTCTTGCGGCTATTATGGCACCCGGGGTGCCGATAAAATGTACGCTGCCGTCATTGCTAATCCTCTCGCTTGTCTTGCATGAAGCTAATCAATCCCTTTCTAGGCTCCACGCGCTCACCTCGCGATTCTCCCACAAACTTCGTCGCCTAGCGGCGAGTGACCATATAGTCAAGACTGCCGGCGTTGTGGGCTACACTCAAGCCGTGCTTGTCCCCGAATTGGCTGTCCAGCTCGTCAAAGAAGACATGGATGTCAATGACGAGTCCGCGCGACAGATCTTGCGCGAAAGTATCGACATCGGCGAGAAATTCAATTTTACGCTAAACGACAAGGTCTCGGTCCCCGAAGAGGAACCGGAAGAGAACGCGATGGTCACGGCGGAATAGGTGGAATAGGTGTACCAACAATCTATCATGTAACGACCGGTGTTTGTTTGTTTTTTTTTTTTTTTTTTTTTTTTCTACAGGGCACATTTTCGGCTGCTGTTGTCTTTCCATTGTTAATGCTGTTTGTTTGAACCAGTGTATATAAGTGAAGTTCGGCCAAGATACCTCTGTGTTTGCTGATTCTTGATGGAGGACTATAATTATCAATATCCTGAGTATAGAATAGGAAGAAGTATGGAGTCATGCCAAGTCACGCGATGTCACATGTGGGGCGGATAAGATAAGGCGCATCACATCCTCTCCGCACCGTCTCTCTACCTCCGCTTCCATAAGTAACCCGCCCGGGTCCAGACAATGTCCCCTTATCTCTTCCCTCATCCATCCATCTCCTCCATCCATTGATCATCAAATCATGTTGGCTCCGGAAATGAGGGAGAAGAAAACCATGTCTCCCTCCGAGGCCACTCCCCTCCTTACCTCAGTGACCGTCGTTCCCCGACGTCCTCGCTATCCCCATCACACCCTCCGGCGTCTCTGCAGCTTCGCATTGGGTCTTCTCCTCCTCTGCTCGCTCACCCTCTTCCTCATCCCCTCGGGCATTTTGCCCCGCGAGCACGGCTCCATCTGGTCCTACCTCCCCTGGGCCCGTCCCTTCCCGCACGCCGCCTGGCCTCAAAGCAACGGCCTCGGCTACAAGGAACTCCAGGCCATCCTCCAGGAAACTCCCTCGGCCGCCAAGGCCCGCGAATGGAGCAGCTACTACACCGCGGGGCCGCATCTTGCCGGCAAGAACTTCAGCCAGGCGCTCTGGACACAGGAACGCTGGCAGGAGTTCGGCGTCGCGGACACCAGCATCGTGACCTACGACATCTACCTCAATTACCCCGTGGATCATGGCTTGCGCCTGCTCAAGCAGAAGGCCGACGGCGAGAAAGCCGAGGTCCAGTATGAGGCGTCCCTGGAGGAGGACGTGCTCGAGGAGGATCACACCAGCGGGCTGCCGGATCGCGTGCCTACGTTCCACGGCTACTCGGCCAGCGGTAATGTGACGGCGCCGTTTGTCTACGTCAATTTCGGCACCGTGAAGGATTTCCAGGACCTGGTTGATGCGAATGTCAGTCTGGCGGGCAAGATTGCGATCGCCAAGTATGGCGGTATCTTCCGTGGGTTGAAGGTGAAGGCGGCGCAGGAGCACGGCATGGTCGGAGTGGTGCTGTACGATGATCCACAGTCGGATGGCGACATCACCGAGGAAAATGGCTACAAGCCGTACCCGGAGGGTCCTGCTCGGAACCCGAGTGCCGTGCAGCGGGGAAGTGTTCAGTTCCTGAGTGAGTTGATTTCTAATCACGTTCTCATTTGGCTTAGAGTTGCATGAAGCTGATTGAATGGCAACTTTTGCATTCTAGGTATCGCTCCGGGTGATCCTACCACGCCTGGTTACCCTTCAAAGCCGGGCAGTGAGCGCAAAGACCCCAGTCATTCGATCCCCTCGATTCCCTCCATCCCTGTGTCGTACCAGGAGATTCTTCCCTTCTTGAAGGCTCTCAATGGCCATGGTCCTAAGGCCGAGGACTTCAATAAGTATTGGCAAGGTGGGAAACTCGGCTACAAGGGCGTCAAGTATAATATCGGTCCTACGCCGGATGACCTTGTCATCAACCTCTATAACGAGCAAGAGTACACGACTACGCCGCTGTGGAACGTGATTGGCGTCATCAAGGGTTCCATCCCGGATGAGGTCGTGGTGGTGGGTAACCACCGAGACGCCTGGATTGCCGGTGGAGCAGCCGACCCCAACAGCGGGTCCTCTGCCCTGAACGAAGTAATCCGCAGCTTCGGAGAGGCGCTCAGGGCCGGATGGAAGCCGCTCCGCACGATTGTCTTTGCCAGCTGGGATGGCGAGGAGTACGGTCTCCTGGGCTCTACCGAGTGGGTGGAGGAACAGCTCCCGTGGCTCTCCAAGGCCAACATCGCATATCTCAACCTCGATGGCGCCGCGTCCGGCCCCAACTTCAAAACCGCGGCGAGTCCGCTATTGAACAACGCCATCTACGAGGCCACGGGCCTTGTGCAGTCTCCCAACCAGACCGTTGCCGGCCAGACGGTCCGCGATGTCTGGAAAGCCGTCGCGAACGGATATATCGGGACCATGGGAAGTGGTAGCGATTTCACCGCTTTCCAGGACTTTGCTGGAGTCGCCAGTCTTGATCTGGGCTTCACTAATAGGGATAAAGACGCCGTGTATCACTACCATTCCAACTACGACAGCTTCGACTGGATGGACCGATTCGGCGACCCGCACTGGCTCTACCACGAGACCTGCGCCAAGGTCCTGGCCTTGATCACGGCCAACTTGGTCGAGACTCCCGTGCTGTCGCTGAACGCCACGGACTACGGCCTTGGTCTCGCCGCGTACCTGGACAAGATCCGGCCGGACGCGAAGCAGCTGTCTGACGGCGCCTCCTTCGACTTTGGCCCCTTGGACAAGGCCATCGCCGAGTTCCAGGAAGTGGCCGTGCGGTTCGATGCGTACGCGGCGGACCTGGCCTCGCAGTTGGGCAAGGACGTCCCGTGGTACCATTGGTGGAAGAAGGTGAAGCTCTATTTCCAGATCCGGCTGGTCAACGATAAGTACAAGTTCCTCGAGCGAGAGTTCTTGTACGCCCCCGGTCTGGACGGGCGCAGCTGGTTCAAGCACGTCGTGTTCGCGCCCGGCATTTGGACCGGCTACGCGGGTGCCACGTACCCCGGGTTGGTGGAGAGCTTTGACGCGGGCGATGTGTCCAATGCACAGGTGAGTTCTTCGTCCTTTGTGAAAATGTCGCAATTCTTCCCCTAGCAAAGATGCTAACGACTTATCAGAAATGGCGCACGATCATTGTCGAGCGCTTGGAAACTGCTACCAAGCTGCTGCATTAGGACGGAGACGAGAGAACCGATTTTGAATAAGACCAGCGTAGGAGATCCGCAACCCTTGCAGCAGGCTTGACGCCGGCCAGGAAATTGAGATGTATAGATCGCACAAAATAGGCGGATTTAGCTAAGCAGATGATGAATATGACGATGCGTTTTCTTTCTTTCTTTTCCAAATCCGATAGGATCGTTGTCCATGCCGAGGAACCAGTAAGAGCCGGAGACGGATACTCGCGCGCATTAAGCCTTTTAGGTTGACTCACAGTTCTATCCAAGTAATACGGGGTTAGAGCTGTAGTGACCTTCAAGGGGACGATCATGGGGACAAAAAGCACTAAGCAGGCCTCTGGTTTTCCCCGCTTAGTGGATTCGCCGGGCCTCGTTAGCTCCATGCACGGCGTCACTCGCCCATTCCTTTCATTCTAATCCTCTATTCTTTTTCTTCTCTTTTTTTCATTCCTCCTTCTTTAACTACCTTTGTTTTGGTTTGGTGTTTGGGGCTTCAAGTATTCGAAAGTCTTTTCGTGATTTCGCCCTCTTCCGACCTACCAGCCCCTTACTTTGGTACAGGTCTTGAAACTTGTTAGACCCGAGTATAAGAATTTTTGACTCCCTACCGAAGTAACCGCCGAGTCCGATGCTGGAGAAAACGCCGAGGCTGCCGGTTCGGCAGCTACTGATTCTCTGTAAGCTTCAACTGCCAGGAACAATGATAGTGTTCAAAGCTGACCAGACCGCGATCAGCAATATGTCGTTTCGCAGAGCCTGGTAAGTCGCCATGACCTGGACTCCGGTCAAGCAGATTCGATTCTGAATTTGCGAGATCCACCGCCGATGACGCGATCATCCAGCTCAAGGAGTGGTGGTCCAGTTTGTTGATCGCTGTTTGTAGTCGTCCTGACGTCCGTTTTGCCTTATCTTGTATGCATTCTCTTTTTTTTTTTCTCTCTCTTTCCTTCTGTTTGGTGTGGTTTGGCTACTTCTGTTTCGGCCTATGAGGGATGTATTACGGGTATCGTTATGCTGACACCAAGTTCTATCTAGCCCGAGATGATCGAGTATGTCGGCGTCCCTAAGAGTGAGGTCGCCAAGTGGGTTGGTATCACCTCGGCCGTGACGGCGATATGTCAGGCCGTGATGGCCGTGTCCTGGGGTACCGCGTCTGACTATGCCGGTCGGAAGTATATCATCCTGCTGGGGTTGACCTGCACGATGGTCTTTTCCGTGATGTTCGGAATGTCGCAGACACTGGCGATGCTGGTGGTGTCGCGCGCGTTCCTGGGTCTGATGAACGGAAACGTGGGGATCATCCGTACCATGGTAGCCGAGATGGTGCCCGAGAAGGAACTCCAGCCGCGAGCCTTCAGTATCATGCCGCTGGTGTGGACCATTGGAAGCATCTTTGGTCCGGCCTTTGGTGGTGCGCTGGCCCGTCCCGCAGAAAAACATCCCGAGCTCTTTGGGGACTCAGACTTTTTGAAGAAGTATCCTTTTGTATTGCCCAATCTGGCGGCTGCAGCGCTGTTCATCGTGGGCATTATCATTGGCTTTCTATTCCTCCATGTAAGGGTTCTCTCGAGGATGTGCTCAACTATGAACACCACTGATAGTAGACAGGAAACATTGGCATCTAGAAAGGACCGTCGCGACTGCGGGCTCGTGCTAGGAGAGATGTTGACGCGGTCGTGCATCTCGCGACCCGAGAAGCGCCGGTACCAGGTTGTTGAAGATGACGAATCGACCGCATTGCTGGGCGACAGGCGATCACGACAGTCGGGGCAGAAAGGCCCCGGCAAGCGACCCAGCTGGAAGCAAATCTTTGCGCCGCAGTCACGGCTGGTCCTGCTGGCATATGGCTTGATGTCCATGCACACTATGGCCTTCGATTCCGTCCTCCCCGTGTTCTTACATACCCCGGTGCAGCGTCTGCATGATAACCCTGACGTGCGATTGCCTTTCAAATTCTTAGGCGGATTCGGCGTGGGTACGTCGTCCTCTTCCATCATCCATAACCCCCGACCTCCCTACTAACTGAATCCGTCAGACTCCCAAACGATCGGAATCTACTATACCCTCATCGGCATCATCGGCATGCTGGTGCAGTTCATCGTTTTCCCCACCGCTGCCAAGCGATACGGCGTCCTCAACTGCCTGAAAGTGGTCGCCTTAATCTTCCCCGTCCTGTACTTCTTAACCCCGTTCACGGCCCTCGTGCCTGAATCGCTCCGTCACGTCACCGTCTTCCTCCTCATGCTCGGCAAGCTCTCGGCCTCGATCTTCGGCTTCCCCTGCACCACCATCCTACTCACCAACTCCGCCTCCAGCCTCAGCGTCCTGGGCACTCTGAACGGCGTCGGCACCAGCGTCAGCGCTATCGGTCGCGCCGTGGGACCCGCAGTCGTCGGCGCAGCGTTCTCCTTCGGCGTGAAGCGAGGAACGATTATCATTCCCTGGTGGATCCTGGGCGTGTTTGGAACTCTCAGCGCGGTCCCAATGTTCTGGGTCGTCGAGTCGGATGGATTCCATAATTCGGCGGACGACGAGGGGGACGAATCGGAACCGGACGCGCCACTCGGTGGAGGTGGATATGGCGCGACGGAGACTGAGACAGGACCTCAGACCGAGACTGGTCGACGACAGTGATTTGCTGGCGCGGATCGTCTCGGGACATCGTAGTGATGCGAAAAGTTTAGAATTGTTTTTTATTTTGGTTCAGTATAATGATGGTCATGGTGATGATGAGATTGCATGTGATTGACGTCTCGTGTATGCGTTCATGTTGATTGATGACAGGATAATATGATGAGGTATTGACAATAGCTGGTAGAGATGAATTATGAGAATAGACTGAACGATGATGAATACAAGAATAGGGAGTAGATGGATGGAAGTATGACAGTGTGAAGGTAGATGGAAGGTATACTCCCGCCAGTAAACACCCGCAATCACCTGACATCATCTGACAGGCGATGACGAGCGGCGGATTTCTAATCTAATCAGCTTAGCTTATGTACCTTAGCTTCATTCGATCAGACCATATCATCAGCTATTCTCCTCTCCAATTCTCTCTCATCTACCTATCCATCTACCAACCAGTCCAATCTACACTCAATTACTACCAATTCCCTCACAAAACAAAAATAACCAAAATGGTAGCCCCCTCCCCCCCGCCTCACCAACACAAGCTACCCTACCAGATAAACCTACCCCATCAATCTAATCCAACCCATACATCTCAACAACAAAAAGAACAAAACTAACACCAAATCACCTACCTAGGCCACCCTCCACATAAACTCCGCCCTCATCCTCTCCCTCCTCACCTCGCTCGGCGGAATCATCGGCTTCGCGCGCACCGGCTCCATCCCCTCCATCGCGGCCGGCGTCTCCGTCGGCGCCCTGTACCTGTATTCGTTCGCGCGGCTGCGCAGTGGCCAGGCCTACGGCGAAGAGCTCGGTCTGCTGGCGTCGATCGTGCTGGGCGGGAGCTCGGTGCCGCGCGCCATTAAGACGCAGAAGGTGGTGCCCACGGCATTGAGTTTGGTGGCTGCGTATGGATTGTTGGTGTTTGGGGCTGCGGTGAAGGGGGGCACGAAAAGGGCTTGATCATCTCGTTCAATTCGTTGGTTGGATAATAGAGAGCGGATGTGGAGAGGAGAGGAGTGGCAAGGAAGGGCAGTGCCTACAGGATGGGTACGTTGTCTGTCTGTCGGTCTGATGTATTATATCATATTGAGGGATGGTTTTTGCTTTTATTTTACTGCCAGTGGCGATGTAGAATGAGATTAAAGATGCAATGCAAAGTCCCTGTGGAAATTATATCTACCATATCTGCCCATTCAGACGAATAAATGCCCCTAGATCATGGATTGTCTGGCCTACCTTGACTAGCACTTACAGTAGACAGAATCAAAATGAAGAAACATAACAAAGATTTAAACCAGCCCCTCTCGGCGTCAAGACGAGAACGCGATTTCCTCGAAGATCAGTTTCCTTTAGTAAGGTGACGACCAAACTCACCAACTCTCTCCGCAGTGCAATGCCTTCTTTCTGCAGTCTTGTTCTCGGTGATGATGCGGGGGCAATCCATTTCTTATCTTTTTTTTTCTTCCAAATCGAAGCATGTAGTGTGGTGCTATCATGTCGTGGGCTTCTGGTTTGGGATTGTGTCTTGCACTGTGTTCGCCAACTACTGACATGAAAATCAGGGCAGGAAGCGGTAACACATGACCAGGGAGTAAGATAAAAGAGACAGAGAGATTATCAAAACGTTTTGCGAGAATTTGATATGCAATCAAACTTAGCTGGAGTTTGTAGTCCTTCCATTTTCCGGCTTTTTCTGACCGCGCGGGTCTTCCTCGTCGCACCAATAAGTAGTTCTTCCCCCTGTTGTTTGGAGAAGCAAAAGCAAAAAAAGCACCGACTGTATTCCCTCCCCTCTTCACCCACCATTCATTCATAATGTTTTCGACATCTAGTCCGTAGGGTCGACAACCGTTTCCGAATCTCGGATGGGTCCCACTACTGTAGAAGAAGGAAGCTCCCCAAGTGCCGTTTCCCCTCGTTGGTCAGGAACGAATGCGTACCTTGACAACTTGGCCATCTTCTCCTCCGGACTGGTTTCATTGTCAGAATATACCAATTTGGCCTGTTTGGACTTGTCCTTCTTGCTGGTTTTCTCTTCGGTCGCCTCCTTGGCGGGTGCTGCGTGGTTGGCCACCGCTTGATCCGCTTCTTTGGCCGCGCCCGAGATAAGGTCATCGATCGATGATGAGATCGGCGTCGCTCCGGTTCCTGCAGGTCTGTCACCATTGGAAACACCGTGCGGCGTACCTCCAGGCGTGAGTGGCGCATGGCCCATGTGCATCTGCTGCATCTGGAAGGCATTGACCGGGGGCGCCCCAACGACGGGTCGCTGGGGAAGGCTTGAGGCTGCCGGCAGGCTGGGAGGCCGTTGCACAAAAGCGGCATTCTGTGGGGGCGTGTTGGTCTGAGGAAGCGGGAGTTGTTGCGGCGGGAAGGGCGACGGTATGTTTCCATACGCAGGCTGTCCCGGCGTGGCCTGGAACGACTGTGGCGAGTACCCTGTAGGAGTATACTGTGTTTGCGTACTGGGAGGAATCTGCGGTTGCCCGCCTGGTGAGAATGTTTGGTAAACTGGACTTGCCGTTTGTTGGTAAGGAGAGCCAGCACCTCCGTATGGCTGGGGATATGAGTACTGCTGGGTTGGAGCGGCTGGCGCGTTTGCAGCTGGCTGACCCTATAAGAAACGTTTATGTTAGCCACCATCACTTCCCCTCCATCGAGCCGCATGCCCAATTGTTGTGAACTTACAAAGCCACCGATATTCTGTGTCTGTCCCGCGCCCACGGGGGTCGCCTCGCCACTGCTTCCTCCAGTGCGAGTCTCCGCCTTTTTGGCTTTGTGTTCGGCCAATCGCTTCTTCAGATCCGACACGTTCTCGAGCTTCGGCCTCTTCGCGGGCTGGCCGCCAGCACCGGTGGTTCCTGCAGGAGGGTTTCCCGTCACGGCCTGCCGCTCCGCCTCCGCTTGCTGGAACTGGGTCATCACCCGTTGGTTGTGCGTCTGGATGATGTCGTCCGGGACACCCTCCATACCGAAGATCTCGACATCAAGACTAGATCGATTAGGAAGCGCATTGTCAACGGCCGACAGCTGTTCCTTATGTACTTGGCTCATATGCACCGACAATCCTGTGGGGACAGACGTGAGCCAAAAGCGAAAAACAAAACACAGAAAGCGAGACGATAGATGATAGAAGCTCACCTCCTGCCGTATTCAGCCTCCGTCCACATCTCTCACATTTGAAATGCTTGGCTTTTTGATGGGATATGAGGATTTTAAGGTCGTCGAAATCGCGCTCGCAGTAGTAGCACCACGGACGAGCTAAAACCTCTTCCAAGGTGGGTCCGCGTCTCTTCTTGCCCATTGTGAGGTGTTTGGCGACGAATATAGAAGGTATTAAACAGTCTGAGTAAGATTGAAAGAGGGGATAAGTCGTTTGGCGATGGTGATGTCCGGTGTGCCGAGCGCGTCGCCCGAGTCATCGGCAAATGATGAAATTGGCCCGGAAGTGAGGCTGCAACGTCACGTGAAGATTAGCATATACACGTGACATGGCAGGCTATTCGCCGCCGTCAAGTATAGTCTATAGAGCTACAGTGACTGGATGAAGATGCAAGATTCAATTCAATTAATTTTTGGAGGATTTATTTATGATCGTAGTAAATTCAAGGTTCATCCAATCCAAGCCCAAAATCAAAGGGCCTCACAAAAGCATCTAGACCCAAATTCAGTTATCCACCAGAATACAGAACGATCGACACCAACCCCCAAGACATTATTCCTTCCTAAATGTACAAGTACCTCGATTCACCAATGCTGTCCAGAGGCAATGAGAGTGAAAAAAAAAAATTAAAAAAAAAAAAAAAAAACTTAGAAATGAGACGGACAGGAAGCCATGGAGCCTCCAAATTGTACAGTTTTCGGGGAACAAAAAAAAAAAAAAAAAAAAAAAAAAAAACATGAAAACAGACCCTGCGCCGATCGCTAGCATGTAACACGCTTATAAATTCGCAAACACAAAAAACATCGAACAAACAGGATAATACATATCAACAGAAAGGAACTTCTACGAGGTCAGGAGTAAAAGGCTTCAATTAGGCCGGGCACGACCTGCATGAGGCATACCACCGCCGGCTGCTCCGTAAAAGTTGTAGAAATCCGGATAAGGCGTGTGATATGGCTGCGGAGGCGGAGGCTGAAGAGGGCCCGGGGGCCCGGGAGGGAAGGGCGCGACAGCTCGGGGGTCAATAGGAGCATACGGGGCCATTGAGCCACGAGGAGCCGGCATAGGCGCCAATTGAGGGTGTGGCCCAGGAGGGCCGGGCGCCAGCGAAGCGGGTGCTGGTAACGTGGGTGTCGGAGCGAGACCAAGGTCGGTATTCGGAGTATCACCAAACGTCGGGCTACTCAACCTCTTCTTCTTGCCTACAATCTTCGGGGGCTCGACTGCCTTTCTAGCCGCTTCAGCGGCCCGATCGGCCTCAATCTGGGCTTTCGACCGTTTAGGATTGCGCGTCCGCCCTTCTCGATTGAATCGAGCCCAGTGGTTCAGCATAGCTTCCGTGCGCTTCGGATTCTTCGAGTTGGCGATCTTGTCGCGTCGAGCCTGTTCCGCCGGGTCCATGGCACTGTCCGGATTTCCCTCCGCGGGGGAGATGGTGGCGGTCGGGGAGGAGCGCGCTTGCGCGCCGCTGGGTGCCGGTTCAAGCGGCGCGAGCTGGGACGGTGCGGTGCGTATCTGCAGCAGCCCCGACGTTGGAGCCGCCCCTTCACGACCAGAGGCTCGAGCCGACGCACGAGCTGAGCCTGCGGCCGCTTCGGACTGAGGAGCCTCGGATCCCGCACGAGAGCCCATGCGGGCAGCGCCCCGTCCACGGCCTCTTCCACGGCCTCGGGTAGATCCTCGTGTTGGGACCGGGGATTGGAACTCGGCCTCTGCGGCCGAACGACGGGTGCGGGTGCGTCGTCTTCCTACATTTTCTGTGTAGGGATCCGCAAGAGCAGGAGACTCGGCGAGTACATCGTCGGTGTCGTTGGCTCTGGCAGCTTCCAGCTCGGCAGCCTTGCGCTTGCGAGTCGCCTTCCCCACGAAATCCTCGCGGGGGGGATTTTGGAATTTGGGGACATGCTCCACGCCGAACTTGGAGATAGTCGGCCAACCGTCAGGATTCGGTTCGCTAGAATTCGAGCTCGATTTGGCAATAATCTTTCTCGCCTGTGCGGGCGTTGGCTTGAACCCGCCCTGAACGAACGGGTTCTGGTTGCCAACCTTATCTTCCTTGGGGTCGTGTTTGTACCCATACAGCATTGCCTCCTTCTTGTCTTCGAAAACTTCCCGCCGGTCGAGCTTTCGCGGCCCGCTGGTTTGCTTGACATTGTGACGAGTTGCAGCCCTGTGGAGTTTTTCGATAGCTAGGTACTCGTCCTGCCATGCTTTCAAGACATAGGCCACGTTTTCGGTGATAGCGTAAAGCTCATCCTGCGAGCGTTTCTCAGCGTCACGAAGCTGAGCCAGGAGATTCTCGAGAGGGGTTATTTCCAAAAATTCCCCTCTGGCCACCTTGGACTTCCTGTATGGTTCCGGTCGTGTGAAAGAATCAGACGCGTCGCGTTGTTTAGCGCGCTTCGCATCATCAAAGACATGCGTCCAATTTTTCTCCAGACCGGCATATGTCTCATCGTAGTCCGCAGAGAATCTGCGGATATCATGGATATTCCAAAGATTGTGCAGACGCTTTTCTAATGTGACCGAATCTTGTTCGCGTGAGAATTCGTGCAGCTGGTTTGATAGTGCAAGATCGGATTCTCCTTCGGGGCCTTCAGCGTCACCGTCGATGCCGGTCTCCTCTTCATCGATGTCATTCTGGTCGTTTTCGTTTTCATATGTCGCGGTGGCTTCGCCGCCTTCCGCGATGCCATTCTCCGTGGCCTCGATCGCGTCCTCTTCCTCCTCTTCTGCCTCCGCTTCTTCTACATCCCCTATTTGAACATCGAGAGCAGCGTTCTCTTCTTCTTCTTCTTCATCATCGTCGGCGTCGAGCTGCTCGTCGGTATCATAGGAATGAGTTCCATTGACAGCTTCGTTATACGACCGCTTAGCGATCTGCGGATGCACGGTGGCAATATGTTGTTTGAGGGCCTCTTTATGAGACGATTCAAGACCCTCCCCACACCAGTCGCATTTCGACTTCTGCGGTATAGGAGAAGGAGATGGCGATGCCTGTGTGGACGCCGAATGGCCATAAAGAGGTTCGGAGAATTGTCGGCGCAGCGGGGAGTCCTGGCTGGCCATGTCCGAAGTATGACTGTCCATTTCGAAGTCGCCTTGAGCGACAGGAGCCATGGCCAAATAGACTCAGTAGAGAGGGAACAGACGCTGACAGATACAATAGACAAGACTATTAAGAAAGATGGAAGATATTCGCACGCTGGCGGCGAATGGAAATAGAGATAAAAAGAAGAGCCGTTTTCTACGGCGCCCAAGAACGGGACTTCGATGCCTGTACAGCGTTAATGGAGTAGACTTGGGTTGAAAAGTTCGCTTGCGGCGCCAAGAAACCAGTAGTAACTGCAGCGTAATAGTCCAAAGCAAATGCACGACGGACCGGAATGGAGAACGAGATCGCGGGCGAAAGGAAGCGAGTTGAGAAAAACAGGAAAAAGAAAAGTGATGGGTAGAGAGAAGGTAAGGAACATGAATGGGAGTCATATAGAATTTTTTGGGTGGTGGTAGAGAGAAGAGGAGGGAAAAAAGAAAGAAAAGAAAAGAAAAACCGGGCAAAGCGCAACAAAGTTCTGACTGGCAAGAGAGAGAGAGAGAGAGAGAGAGAGAGAGTAGATGTAGAGCGGCGCACACGATTGGAAACGTACCTTGCGGGAAAAGATAAACAGAGCCAGTCCGTTGGCGGTGACGAGGGGGTGTCGACTGGAAGGAGCCAAAGAGGGAGCCAGGCCCCAAGATCGTAAGATAAAGTCGAAGGGGGGGTTGGTTGACGAGGCAGAGGTGAAGCGTTGTTTTGTCTACAATAGAGATGGTCGCGAACGGCTGCCAGGGAGGGAGAAAGGAAGAGTAGAAAGACTCTCTCGAAAGGGAAAAGTAGGAAAGCCGAGCGGGTAAGCCGAAAGAATGACTGAAGGACTGCTTCTATCGGCCTTTCCACCACAGACAGAATGAAGATTCAACCCGAACAAAAGGATCACTGCGAGATTCGCGGTGTGGAGAACTGGGAAATGGAAGTAAGGAAATTGGCGATCAAAGATCCGCCGTTTCTTTGACACGGATTTCCCTTCCAGAAGCAACTTGGTAACGTGAGAGAAAGTAAATGGGTGCGGGTGCGGGTCAGCAGGGGAAAGGTCGGTATGCTTGTCCACCACGCCTCCGATGGTAGGAAGAAAGGCAGGAAAAGATGATTGAAATGGAGAAAAAGATAATCGACGAGGAAAGGGAGATTGCGATGCTTAATTAGCAAGATGGCGTGGTGTTGTTGTAGTGGGAAGAGGTAGAAGTAAAAAGAAAATCGAGCGGGTAAGCAACAGAAAGGAAGAAAAAAAATGCTACTATGCGTTTTAGCCACGCTCTCCAGTCTCAACCCAGGAGGGAAGATCAAGCGAAGGGCAGAAAAAACGATTCCAGACTCCAATTGAGAAGAGCCAGTCTGAATAGATGGGAGGAATAACCCGGGAGGGGTGTTGAGTAGAGAGGTCTGGCGGTGCAGATGGGGGTTGGTAGGGAAGTAGGAGTTGTAGAAACGGAAGTAGTCGTAGTATGGGAAGTACGGAGGAAGTATGAAGCTAAGTCGACGGGAACGTGGGGAGGTGGAGTGAAAGGATGAAGAAGGGGCTGAAGGACTGAACTCTGGAAGACAGGCAAAGGAAGCCTTGACAGAGAGTCAGAGCAGTCGAGGGAGCGAGTAAAAGAGGGAGTTTGCGTAGGAGGAGGTAAATGGAACTGGCTGAAGAATGGATTGATTTTGCAGAGGGAAAAATGCCTGACCATAGCCAGTCCACCGTACTCCGTAGACAACATTAAACTACGACTATGCCTGAGGTGTCGCTGCTGAGGTGGTCCGTTCTGCGGGTACCGTCCGGTATGGTAACGAGCAGCCCTGTAATTTTCATTTAGGACTGGCCCCACATCTCTATTCAATGAAATTGCCTGTGGCTCCGGATAAAAGATATCGCCGAACAGTTTATCGAGATCTTGACTAATCAGGCAGCGGGCAGTCGTCGCCCTGTCCGTTTCCTGACGGTATTGTGTACTGAGGTATTGATGCACCGAGCGATGTCCTGGCGTTGCATCCCCTTTTCTCTGTCCATCCATTTCTTCTTCTTTACTGTGGAATAGTTCAATCACTCTGCCAAATGCTCAGTGACAGTATACAGGTGCATCCAGCCATGCTTTTTTTTTTTTTTGGTCTGGCATCCTCCTGCAACACTTCCATCCAGAGGACTTCCAGGGCCCCTTCATCTGTCCAGAACTGCACGCCCTGTCATTGGCGCGAATATACAATCAGTAGTTTACGGTAACTGTCACTCCAATACCTACCCACGGCCTGCGGTCTTTGACATCATCGCCCGTTTGCCATCATCTGGGTAGGTAGAAAGTAGGTAGAGAAAGACGGACATAATAATCTCCACGGCCTTATCTCCCACTACAAACTTAGTTTTAGCTCATTATCTGTATCCGTATTCACTCATTCATTCCAGAAATCAGCCCGCCTGAGACAAACGGACTAAGATACAATAAGAGATCAAACGGATGCGGGAGTGTGTCTTACAAAGGAGAACTAAGGGAGTGAAGGAGGGGGACGATCTATTGACTTTTTGGCTTGATGCCTAGGTACTATTGAGGATCTGAGTGTGAACATTCACTCTGAGTTAGACCATAAAAATTCACAATCATTACTACTTACAAAATTTGGGCCCCAGGATCAGGAAACCCAATGACTTTCAATTGATCATCTGCCACCCAGGAATTATCAGACACTTTCTATCAACGGTGTTAAGGTACATAGAGACTTCACCCAATTCTATGTTCTTGGAAGTGGTTCCTGCTGTCTATTCTTTTAGTGGGTCTTAATTTCCATTATAGGTCGTTGCCCGTAGTTCGCACATCTCAACAGAAGGCATGCCACAAGTCATATATAGTCTATTGGTTTTTCTCTCCCACATCTAGAGCCACCAGGAATCTACTGACGCAATTGTAAGCCGCCGCAGTGGCGGTGATTTCCACAACCTCTTGGTCGTTAAAGAGTCCCTTCAGTTCTTGAAACACCTCGTCGGGCACAGCGACGGTCGTCGTCATGGCATCGGTGTACTTGATGACAGCGCTCTCTGCCGCGCTGATGACTTTGTCCCGGACGAGCAGAGAAAGATCCGCCTGCGCATCGCGGACTACTCTGATTGCGTCCTCGGCCAACCCGCCGTCCCGCAGCAACGGCGCATGATGCTCCCATTCAAACCATGCCCCGTTGAGGACGGCCACGCGGCAAATGATCAGTTCGCGGATGACTTGTGAGAGGCTCGTTCGAGTGCGAATGGCTCCGATAAACGAGTTCCAACCATCCGCGACGGGGAAGGAGTGCAGAAGAGCACGGTCCAGTGGGATGAGGCCGCCGGGGCCACGTCGGGCTTGCACTCGAGCCAGGATATCGGCCTCTTCGGGAGTGTTGGTTGGTGGGGCATCGGGCACATATGGGAGACGCATGGTGAAATGGATGGATTCCAGACGGTTTTTAGGCCAAAACGAAAGGCACTTAGGTTGGCTTCTTGACTGTCAGGTGTGTCAACTGTCAATACATCCTGCCGGGAATTGATGTGGGGTGTTGATTTTCCATACTAACGAGTGAATACCCCTCTCTATTCTTTCTGGGAATCTTTTGATGACCGGTAGCGAGTCTGCGTATCTCTGGTAATTCAATGCAAGCTGCAAAGCGCAATCACTCTCAAATTTGAACCGACGTGGGGGACTGCCACCATTTAAACCGTCTCATTTCCGGCCCTCCTCCAGCTTGCACCCCACGGGCCGCGGAAGGGTCCGCTGCGGCCTGCGGGTGAGCCGAGCCAGTGAGAAGTAGATATAGGAAGTATAAGAGGTTTACTTCCGTATACTCTGCGCGACCTGTTTTCATATGAATTGGTTGAATGCTGCGTTTCGAACTGGAACATTTATATGTTGGATAATACCCCAGGCGGGTATTTCGCATATTCGTCGCAGAGGAAAGTCGCAATTGCTCAGCTAGTTTTCCGTAGGTTTTCCGCTCAGCGGCCCGGTGTTCATTCTTTGCCGCAGTTTCCTCGAGGGGGGGGGGGGGGGGGGGGATATACTGCAATAGACGCATAAGCTAATCTAGTGCAACAATGGTAGTTCAATGGGGCCTGCTTATCAGTATTATCCTAGAGTATTTGAAGAGGGCCAGATTGTTCATACTCCGTGGAACACTGGATGTAGAAGACTTGTATGTCTGAGGCAATTCACAAAAGCACTCGCTACTTAAACAATGGCTTATTTAAGTAGGTGTCGATAAACCTTCTTTCCCTTGGTTATTTTATCATTTTTTACCGGTTTGGCTTGATTATTTTGGTTATTTCAATTTCCTGCCCCTGGCCTATGTACAATACCGCTGTAGAACAACAGCCGAAATATATACTAAACTCATACTATTTATGCACAACTTGTAGCTCCAAATTCAGCCCGAATAACTGCCTTAAAACAAACCCCGTTCATTTTCAATAACCAGCTCCAGACCGAAAAATACACACAAAGGCACTGATATAAATAGATAATAAAACCAAGCACAGCCTGCACAGGTAATGTCATCTACGTACCTTAACTAGAGTCTACGTAGAAGCTGCACGCTAACGCTTCTTGGCGCAGGTCATCTCTATCTCCACCGCCCGAAACATCATCCCGAGCGAGATCAAGTCCACCTCTCTCCATCAGTGTCCCTAGCGACCATACATAACACAAACAAACAAACACCCTGTGCTGCAAGCCATCCACTTCCGACCGGCAATATGCGTCCTAAAGGTGGCAAGCCGACCAGCGACGAGCTTCTTGCTCAATTTGACAATCTCGGGGTCGAGGACTCCGACAAGCAAGCGTCTCAGCCGGCTGCTGCACCTCCCGCTGCGCAGTCCGAACAGGACATCCTGGCTGAATTGGACAATCTAGCTTCGCAGCGTCCAAGCAGTATTCCTGGAACCCCGCGGGCCTCTACTAACGAGCCTAGACCCACCATCAAGTCGCCCAAGCCAGCTGCGGCGGCGGCGACGACCCCCTCCACCGGCCGATCCAGCGAAGAGAAGCCTACTCCACGCAAATCAGAGGAGAGCGCTCCCTCGGCTCGTGCAACCGCTCAGGCTGATAATGTGCAGAAATCAGAATCAGAGAATCCTGCGACAGAGGAGGCTTCTGCGGGTGGTGGATGGTGGGGATGGGGGGGAGGTATCTTCGCAACGGCCAGTGCTGCCATGAAGCAAGCCGAGGCCGCCGTGAAAGAGATCCAGCACAACGAAGAAGCCCAGAAGTGGGCTCAACAGGTTAAAGGCAATGTCGGTGCGCTGAAAGATTTTGGTATGTACTCCGTCCCTTACGATTTATGCATGATATATCTGACTTTCGTTTCTTCTAGGTGGTGAGCTCCGGAACATGGCGATCCCTACCTTTACCAACCTCATCCACACCCTCGCGCCCCCGATCTCGTCCCATGAACGTCTCCAAATCCATGTGACCCACGACTTCTCCGGCTACCCCAGCCTCGACCCTCTGGTTTACGCCGTCTTCTCTCGCGTGATGTCCCAAGTCGAAGGTGGTGACCTCCTCGTGATCCAGCGAGGCCAGGAATCGGCACCCAGACGCGGAATTGATATCACCGGTGCTACGGCGGGCTGGCGCGATGGCCCGTGGTGGCGCACAGTTACCCCGGGTAACCCTCGCAATCTCTCCGCGATTCGTGGCTCCGTTGAAGCTACCAAGCTGGCGCGGGCCAGTGCCGAGTCCTATGCCGCCGAGTTCTTCTCGGCCAAGGGAGGCGTCGAGGAAGCCGCGAAGCAAGCCAGCCAGGTCCTGAGCGAGACAAACCCCGTGCGCAATAGCGACATCTTCCTGGCCATTCAGGCCATCAGCCAGACCTCGTCGACGGAACTGTTCCAGGCGGGCCCGACCACGGACAAGGCCACTCCCTCTGGTGTGGTGGACGTTCCCGACGCAACCGAAGAAGAGATCACCTTCGCCCTGTACCTGCACGACCCCATCCACGGCATCGCCTTCCACACGGTGTCGCAGGCCGTGCCGCAGAAATGGATCGAGTGGCTCGACTCCTCGGCCCCGGCCGTCGGGGAAACCAACCCTGAAGAGGAGATCCCCCGCGCAGTCGTCCCGGAGGAGATTGCTGAGATCGTCGAGAGCGGCGGCGTGGACCCTCGCGAATGGGCGGCCGAATGGATCGAGGAAACGCTCTCCCTGGCCACGGGAGTTGTCGCGCAGCGCTACGTGGCGCGTAGAATGGGCGTTGGCGAGGCGGGAGTCGCCAAGGGCAAGATGCGTGCTGAGCAGGCGTCGGTCGTGGAGAGCGGAGCGGGAGAGGTTGCGCGGGCACTCTAGAAGTTGGCTTCGCTTGACTTTTCTCCCTTTTCTTTCGTGTTGTCATTCCTTTAGGTTGCCATGTTCTACCCTGCCGTTTGTTGATATGCCATTATTCCATGATCAGATGATACTCCTCAGCCCTCCATCCCCTCTCATATAATGTGTTCCATTTCATATCATGTTCTTGCAAACCGTGCCTGTTTCATATTAATGGGTGATAGCGATGTTAATCCCAAACATGACCTTCAAACGAGATAAGTGGTCCAATTTGTTGTATATAAGTAATCAATCTAGATGAGTGCGCCTCATTCTAGTCAATGCCATTAGATCTTAGAGATACTTTTGCCATCCGGTGCAAATTCCGGCCTTATGGAAGTAGAAGTAGAAGTAGAAGTGAAAGCAGAAATAGAAGTAATAACAAAAACAAGAACCTTTGGGGGTATCTATCTATCATATCATCTAACGTCACCCCTTCTAAACATTCCTCATCCCTCAATCCTCTTTTCTTTTCATATGAAGTTAATTGTCCAATTCCAATGGCCCATCCAGACCAGGAACATGCCAGAAATTCGCACGGAGGGCCGTCACACTATTTGATTCTGTTAGCTTCATTGCTCGTTTTGAGATATGGAAATCTCTCTCCACCCCCCAACTTACCTGACGTCCCCATTCAGCACCGTATGCGCATCTGTCCCCTCCTCGCTGGCCTGCAGCGCCTTCTTCATATCCGATAGCTGAGCGGACCAGTTGAAACTGCGCTCCTTTAATCGCGACGAGGACCCGTTGACCGCCTTCGCGACGCCATTGGCCAGCGACTCCCCATTCGTCAGACCGTTCATCGTTGTCGTCGTTGTCTTCTGCTGCTGCTGCTGCTGCTGTTGCGCCGGCTCCTCCTCGGCGTACAGGTATCCCCGGGCCCAGTAGTACGGCAGAGCACGGGTGTATTGAATCGGTCTGGTCTCGACATCGGCCCGCATCGGAACATTCAAGTTATACAGCTCGACGCGCTCGTCCCAGTGGCGCGACAGGTGGTCGACGAGCTTGACGGCGAGTCGCGAGGCGGCGGCGATGGTGTCAGCGGGCTGGGGGTCCTTGCTGCCGAAGGAGATGGCGATGGCGCGCTTCCCGCAGGTCGCGGCCTCGAGGGCGCCGCCGACGGTGCCGGACGAGAGGTTATAGATGGTGGAAGTGTTCCGGCCGTGGTTGGGGCCGGAGATCACGAGGTCGAAGGGCCCGCGCTCCGCGAAGAGGTTGAAGAGTCCGAGTTGGACGCAGCTGGCGGGCGTGCCGTTGCGGATCACGACCCATTCGTCGTTGTGCGCTTGTGTCGCAGCATCGTCGGTGGATTCTTCGGGGGACTCGAATTCCTCGTCCCAGGTGGCATCGTTGCGGAAGGCGGCGGGCGGCACGTAGGTGGCTTTCAGGGAGGCTTCGATCAGATGCGCCTTGCCGATCCAGGAGCGCGAGGCGGCGGGGATGGCGACGGAGACGATATGGCCGGCGTCTTGGAGGGCATTGACGAACGGGAGGATGTAGGGGGAGAGTCGGCTGCACGGCGGACCGTCATCGTTGACTACCTGTTGATCGCATGGCGCACGGTGATTAGTTTGAAGAAGAATAAGAAGTAGAAGCTAAGAGGGTGGCGTGGGGGTAGATAGCGAGCCAAGGACTTGTCGGGTGACCTGAGGGTCAATCCAGCTATTGGATGACAGTCGAGGTCAAGGAAGACAAGCAGGATCAGGCAAGATAAGAAGATGGTGGAGAAGAAAAAGAAAACCTACCAAGATATGCATGATGGAAGTCGAATTGACCTGAGGGTGTTTGCGATAACTTGGCGCAGAAATAGGCGGAGGACAGGATAGACAGGCAGAGACCAGGTCTAGAACACGGACGGATCAAGTAGAAGACGAGAGCAGCTTCGATTGGGTCTTAGACCCGTTGAAGATTATCGTCGAGTACTTATAAGTCTTCAAAACGGTGAATCTGGAGAAAGACTCCAGCAACGTTCCTACTTACCCCGACATGCCGAAGACATCCCGGGGATGAACTCTCCAATTCGGTCACGGTGAAGCCGCTGTCCTTGCGGGGGGATGTTTCCATACCGTCACATTTCACTGGATTCCACCCAAATGGCGGGAACTCAGCCAGAGATACATGTATGGCTGTGACGGAGAACCCGACGTGCACCGAAAAGAGACTGCGGTGAACGTTGGACGCCGTGGGGGGAGATTCCGATGGAAGAAGAATCTGGTCGGTGATGGCAAGTGGTAGATGAGGACGGTAGATGTAAGAGTCCCTATATTAATGGCCGGAGTGCTCTTGGGGAGGGATTTCTCAGTGTCATTGTAGAATTGGTGTATACTGTATACTATGGTTGAAGTATATCTGTGGCATCATTTCCTCTTTTATCCCGCTGCATGGGTCAATTTTTCTTATTATTTTCTTCTTATTCCTGCCCACAAATGGCTGCAGGGGTCCCCGTGCCAATTGATCACCGCGCATAAGGATCTGATTGTTTCTTATTACCTTCAACTATTATTATTTTATTATCCCCCCTCCTCCCTCGCACACATCTGACTCTGACAGGCGACTTCGGACCCTGACCACCTGGGCAAATCGGCAAAGTGGGCTCGCCTGTGCAAATTTTTCCCTTGACGAAAGTCGCCCTGGTCTTACCACCGACCACTGGACCGACCGACCGAAGCCGTCTTCTAGAATGGCACCACCGATTTAGTTGATTATTATTCTTAGATGAGCTCCCACCCAGACAATCCGACTGGCGCCAACCATGTCCTCGGCGGGTCCTCCGTGCCTTGGATCTCCCACTCAGCTCGGTGCAAGCAACACATGGGCCGGTGTTGCACGGAGGACTGATCCCCGTTGCAGGTTTCCATGAGTGATTGCGTCGCGTAATCCTCAGCCTTGGCTGTCATTGTGCTGCAGTTGATTGTCGCACGGAGGGTTTCAGCATTGATTGGCGATCTCCTCCCCCCCCCTCCTCGTGCCCAGTCCTGATCTTGCGCCGAGAGACAATAGTCACTGTGTGTGTTTTTTGTTCCTTGCCCTGACTATTGGGGTTCCCTCCTTCGGATCGCCGGACGAGGAGGCCGTGATGAGGACCGTAGTTGTAGTTGGTGGAACGGCATATAACTTCTTAAAAACCTTTAACCTCCCCTCCACTTCTACTTTGGAACCTTGGGAGATTTAGCACGTATTTTTCCTTCCATGACCTGGTCAGTGCGGACTGTAGGGAGCTGGCCTTAGTCAGTTGTGTTGCCAATTGTTATTAGCGGACGACCGATCGCCGCAAAATCTTTGGTGGGGAAACACTTCACAGCCGGGTCGAATTTCTACTCTCACCATCAGACCATCATCATCCCTCCATCTTCCACCTCACTATCGATCGCATTTCCATCCTCCCATTCCACCCCCTTACGGCTTTCCCCCCTCGTCGGTGCGAGGGTTCAGCGCTTCCCTCCTGCACCATCCGTCGCTCGTTTAGAGGCTACAAGCCCGTTAACGCGCGTCGAGACCTTGTCAGCTTCTCGAGGTCGTTCACGCTTACTTCCCCCCTCCCCCGATCCCCTGGATGGACTGCGGGAGCTCTGGGACGGCTGCGGGCATCGACCCCAAAATCCTCGATAATTGGCAAACGGATGCGGCTTTTTCCATCCCCTCCTGGGAACACTCGACTTACGAACATCCGCTTGATTGGGACACAAGCCAGGATTCAAGCCAGGCCGATGGGGAGATTGTTGATGTAAACGCCCAGTATGGGCCTCTGGCGAAAGACCAGCCGGATGCCTCGTACCTGGCACAGTCAAACGGTTATCGAAGAGGCGACAACAGGTGCGTCACCGGCCCCTCTTCCCCTCTTACCCCTGATGATCTACCAAACAATCGGGAAGAAAAAAAAGCACGTGGCGGACTGACGGCTTCTCTCGCAGCAGCAAACAATCCACCACCTCGCCCGATAAGTTCAGCGTCGCCGATGCCACCGTCGAAGGAACCATCAGTGGCACCGTCAGCCCGAGAACGCTACCTTCGGCCGATGACAACTTTCAACTGGATGATTCATGGCCCCAATACCAAATGTTCAACGCCTTGACGGCCGGGGTCCCCATGGAGACCCCCCTCCTTTACCAGTATGCGAAGGATCCCACCGCTTCTGGAAATACCGTCATCGTCGAGGATGTCGGAGAACTTTCTCAGGATCACGGATTCCCAGACATCTCGCCCGACCAGTTTCTTTCGTTCCAGAACATGCCTCAACCGTTCCCATTCCCGCCGACCGAGACCTGGCCCGAGCCGTCGACAAGCCCTTCTACTACCGACCACATGGGTAACCAAATGCAAGTACCGATGTCCATGGGCTCTCAGCTGGCAAACAAAAATGTGAATGCCATGCGTGGCTTCCACGGATCGATGCGCTCGCTTGAATCTCGCTGGCTCGAGAGCCTCGAGTCCCAACTCCCTACAAACATGACTCCTGCGTCGATGCCGACTGTTCCGCAGGATCCTGGTCTGTTTAGAGACAACAAAGAACAGGACGGGTTTCAGTACAAATCGGAAAGCTCGTCCGTGTCGGGCGATTTCTCCGGAGTTTACGAATGCTCCTACTCCGCTACTAGCGATGAGCCTTCGGCGTTTCCCGAACGGAAGTTGAACGAAGACAGCTCGTGGAGCGAGGCACAGAAGGACGAGGCGTCGGACGTGTCTCAGCCTCTCCAGAGTGCTACTGCCTACATGGTCAGCGAGACCCCATCCGAGCAGGTCCTTGGTTCTGCTCCCTCGAGGTCTAGAGCGTCGTCCAATGCTGCGCAGCGGGCGAATGCTCGACCGCAAGCCCTCGGGCTTCAGTCCGTTGCGACCATTAGAAAACGCAAGCAGCGCTCCTCCAACGGCTCGATAGATGGTTTGCCCAAACCGCTTCAGATCGTGCAGGAAGATGGTCAGGGGGGCTCGATTGCCTCGGCCGATTTTGTCTCTCCGCCACGTGGTGCGCGCCGCAAGGGACCTCTGTCTATGGTAGGCCGGGCCAATGCCGGTTTGCGGAGGAAGAACAAGGATACCTGCGTCCAATGCCGCTTGAATAAACGCAAGGTTGGTCTTTCATTGGCTGGTAAAACTTAGCTGAGTGGAAACTGATTTGGTCCTCTAGTGTGATGGGAATGCTCCGTGTGACGCATGTCGCCCTACTCTTCACGAACAGCCATGTGCGCGGGCTTGTTTCGCCAACATTGTCGAATATGGAACGTGCAACTACATCTGTATGCATGGCCCAATCTTTATTTTCGACTCATGTTGCTGACTGTATTTTAGCCCAACGCGCGGTCAATCATCCTACTTTGGACAGAAGTGGTCGAGTCCGAATGGAGATCCCCTTCGAATTCGACCTGAGCGATCTTCTCACATTCCTTGGCGAACGGCAAGGTCGCTTCAACATTCGTGCCAGCCAATCCTGGGGATCGCTCTACGTCCTCGACCTGGGAGAGACTTACAAATTCCTCCGAAGTCTGAGTGACTACAACGGCAACTCTCGGTCCAACTTTTTGGAATTCATTGATCGACGGATTGTGGAGTCGAAGGATAAATCGAAGAACTGGCTCACTTGTGTCAAAGACTGCGATCCAATGAACAATATCTACGTGAGTCTTCACATGGCTTTGATTCGCACAAAATTCTGTCACTAACCTGGATCCACAGACTCTGCTCTCACAATGGAACAACATGCCCAGCCGTGCGAGCTACAGTTTTGTTCCAATTCAATCAGGCGGCCAGGAACGACCAATGGACATCCATAACCCGGATGACCAGCGTGAGATCCTTCTAGCGGCGCAGCTATCTCGGATTGTCTGCCGCATGTTGGAAGTGGAGGGTTTCCGCAAGCTGGAGCGAGACTTTTACAACATCAAATGGAAACAGATCTCTCAGGAGACGCACGTGCGCTTCCTGGGCGAGCTGGGCCATATTCTCCTCACTCTTCGCTGGCGAGTCTCCTGGTGGAAACGCCTCGGCGACGGCGGCCGAAACCCGGACCCGACTAAGCAACACTATGTCGAGCGAGTCGATCTGCTGTGCCGGATTCTTTACGTTTACTACACTTGCGTGCTGGCCAAGCTTCCTTCGTGGTCTGTCTCCGACGTCCCCAAGGGAATCTGGTCTACTTATCCAGACTCTGAAACTGCTATCTGGGACGACTTCCCGGTGGATCCCAGTGACGACGGTTTCCAGAACTGGATGGAACGGGGCCAAGAGCTTATCGATCAAGCTGGTGTTCAGAAGCGTTCTCCCAAGGCCTAGGTGCCTGGGAAGTATGAAAACACAAAGATCGCGCGGAGGATTGATTGATTGGATTAGAACTGAGTTTGAGATACCCTTTTTCTTTTAGCGTTTCTTGCGACCCCTCCTGCTATCATGACTGATGATTTGTTTCTGTGGCTTTTTGTATACTTCAGAATTTGGTTTCACGGCTGCAATAATAGACTTCTGTGTGCTGTATGTATCTTTGTGTGTACATACATGTTATCTTTTTACATATAATTTATCTAGATCTTATTCAACCCAGAGCTCTTCGTAAAATCATAGCAATGAATGTATTTCCACCCCCGAAAAAAGAGTCCATATAGAGAGGGAGGGAGAGTACACAAGGGTATCGTCTGGTTTCATTAATCATAGTGTGCTGTATACTATATTGGCGAACGAAATGGGCGACCTCCATCGACGCAACCATCCCGATCAATCAATTATTCCGGACCAACCATCCCATCCTTTCGCTTATTTCTTCGCGCCCTGCTGCTTTCCCTTCTCGGCCGTCTTCTTCTTATCCTTTTTGCCACCAGCAAGCAGTTCCAGATGACCCGCCCGCTCGGCAAGACTTCTCTCCGTCCGCGTAACCAAACCAGCCGTGAGTTTCTAGTAAACGAAAGGTCGAATCAGCAAGATGGTTCTTTCCTGCGTCTCTCCCTTCAATATTCCTTGACTTGACACCTCAGACCTCCTTCCCCAGCAGTCCAGGCCCTGAGAGAAATGTCGCGATCGAAGACCGAAGTAGTAAAAACCGCAACAACTCACCTTAGTGATTTTCTTCTGCTTCACCAACGAGGCCTTCTTAGGCGCGATCTGTCGGGGTCCGGGCTTAGGACCGAGAGCTGTGGGCCTGGATGGTAGCGTTCAGCGTTATTCGATGTACGTTTGAATATCCAGTCTAAATCAGATACAGTGCATACTGCGTCTGCACCATCGGAGCCAGCCTCCGGCGCTTGCAGGGTCCCGAGGAGGAGGGGGGGGGGAAGAAGAAGATTGTTCATACCGTTTCGTAGAGGCGGTGTTCGCCTTGGCCTTCTTGAGGGATCCTTGAACCATTTTGGCTTCTGTGGGATATAATATGCAGACGGGTACTGCCAGCAGCACGAGAATAATTTAAATGTGTGTTGAATGGGTGGGGGACAACGATTGAGAAGGTGAGGTTTGGACGGTTGATGGCGGAAATTATTTTTCTGGAGAAAATTGCTTATCGCCGCCTCGTTATCGGTCACGTGGTGCTAATCTTTGTGGGTGGTGGATTGAGACTTTGGGGGTTGTGGAATATTGTTCTTGGTTTTATTATAATTTATCTGTTATAATTGCATTCTGCTCTAATTATATGTTCGCAAGCGAAGCGCTGGTTGTGTACATACAGTACCTCTGGTGAACCTAGAAGGATAACTAGGGAGTGAAGCCATGTACTTTTCTACTTACACAGTACACATTATCCCAGTCGTACAGACTACTGTCCCACACCAAACAACTCTCCATAGGTAGACTTAATACCTCTTCCAACCTCCCACCTCTGTTTCAAGTTATTTGTCAAATGTCAACCACCCCGTCGGACAGACGCAGTATAGCCCGTCTCACAAACCAACATTCTCTGTTTCATCGCGACCATCCAACAAACAAACCCATGTTTCTGGGTTCGGGAACATGCAGCCGACAAGTCGCACAGAATCGAAGGATTCACAGACATCCTGGATCCCATTTCATGTTCCCGTGATTGTGTGGGAATAGGATGCGAATGCTGTATGTCTTTTCCGTACCTAACCTAACCGACAAACAAGACTTCGTACGGTGTATTACCTTGCAGTCCCAGCAAATTCGAAGACCTGAGATCTACAGATGAAACACCTAGGGTTATGCTTCAACAAACAACCGTTGCTTTGTAGCTCGGAAAAATCAAGAAGAGTCCAGAGTACTTTGGAAGTAAGGGGAAAACGAAAGGAGACCTATCAAGCAAACAATCAGGAGACGAGACGGCCAATATCCATGTCTCAGACTGTCAGTGCTAGGGCCGCCACAGGCGACGAACAGGTGACTCCACGGGTGAGTGCAATGTAAATTTAATTTTCTTTCATCTGCTCTAGTTCGTCTTTTGAGTTTTTTAGGCTGCCGGGTGAAGAGTGGGACCATGAGGATGATCAGGTCATTTAGTCCGTACGGAGTAGTCCGTATGGGGATTGAGGAAGAAGGTTGTCGAATGGAGGCTCTGGTGTCTTTTGTCGTGTGCAATTTTAGGTGTTTTGGTGGCTACGGTTTGGAGGGTTGGTTAAATCTCCATACCGCATCTACAAATAATCGTATATCCCCTGTCTGGTCACTTTCCTAGGGACTAGGTCTAGGGAGTACGGTGTACTCCGTATGCTTGAATCTAGTTAATATAATTTGCAAGGCACAGACCATGTTGCATTCGTGACGCGTCTTTAGGACATTTAATTTATCAAGGCAACTTATCTCTCTAGCGTAGGCAGTCATATTGCGAGATTATAATGGATGCTCTGTATCCCCTGTACTACCTACAAACACGGATTCGGGGTTAGGTCGTGGGACACCATGGTAGAAGCAATTTGAAGGGATATCAAGAAAGACTTTGGATTCTGAGCTATGCGATCACACTATTAAGGGTTTGAATACACGGCTAGAAAAAAGATAGAAGACACAAGAGGCTTCACAGATCATGAAAAGCGGGAGAAAGGAATGCAAAGGATCTCCTAAAGGGATCTAGAAAGCAAGAACGGCAACAACACCGGCAGCAACGGCACCGAAGCTGATCATGTTGCGGTCAGCGGCACCGGTGAAGATGGGAGTCGAAGGGCCCGACGAGGAAGGAGTGCCGGAGGGCACGGACGAGCTGGCCAGAGTGGTGGGCTTTCCGGGCTGGCCGGGGCGGACGGGGGTGTTGCTAGGAGAGACACCGGGACGGCCAGTACCGATCACAGGGATGCTGGAAGAAGCAGGCTTGCCGGTAGGGTGAACAGCGGCGGTCTCAGGGCAGATGGTCGTGGTAACTTCGTAGGTCTCATACTTGGTGGAGAAGGCACCGTGGGTCGTAACAGCGGCAGGAGCAGTGGTAGCAGCGGCCTCGGCAGTGGTAGAAGAAGAAGAAGTCGAAGAAGAAGAGGACGAGGAAGAAGAAACCTTGTTGGGGTTCTTGACACCGAACTGAGTGGAGTACTGGTACGCACCGGTCGGCTCGTCAATGAGCAAGAGACCGTAGTGGGTGACGTCGTCGTCGAGCGAGGTGCTGGGAGTCCATTCAAAGCGGCCAGTGTTGGGGACCTGCTCAGCGATAGTGCTGAGGGGGACGACGTTGGTGCTGGGACCACGCATAAGGACCAAGGAGACGGGTCCCTTTGTGGTAGGATCCCAGGTGATGACGAAGTTCTGGCCAGCCTCAACCTGCTGGTTCAGGCCGGGAGTGTAGATGGCATTGCCAGAGGGGGATTGGTTGTAGTCGGGGTCGCGGTGAGCAGAAGCCAGAGCGGCAACGACCGAGAAGATAGCGGCGACGGAGAAACGCATTGTATGGATTTCGAGATTGGTTCTTTCTTCTGAAAACTGATCGAGACAAGAGATTGAGGAGAATAACTGGGTGGATTCCGGAGAATGCAAGTAAAGAATGACTGAGTGGGATGGGTAGGATAAAAGAGTGACTACCGTGGGAAAAGAGTGACGAGGGATAGATAGATGGGTATCGATCGAAGAGAAAAAGTAAAAAGAAAAGAGAAAGGAAAGGAAGAGAAGGGGGGGCGAAGGGGCAAAATAAAAGGATCAGCTTTGGAGGTGAGTTGCACTGGAGTGTAACAGCGAGCTAGGCCTTCCTCGCGAATTTCCCCCTTCGAAAGGGGAGATTATTGCCTCATACACCGTCCATGCTGCGGCTCACTTGACTTGTGGATCACCGACGGACTTGGGACCTGAACTAGACAAAGGCAGGTGGGCATCTCGCAGGGTTCGATGGCCACTGGGAGTACCTCTTTTCCTTGCTCCATACGTCCATGCTGTGTACTCTCTACGCTTCTAAGCAGTCTATCCAGACTATCCTACATCGCGGCGCTGTTAGTCCACCGCGCAAACTTAGGAATGTGGGAATGCTTGAACCTTGAAGGGTTGGAAGGAATCAAGAATGTTACCCTACGAGAGGGGCAGGGCCCTTTCACTGGCGTGCAGCCACTTTTAGTTCCATCTTTAGCCTGTATAGATCTCTCCAACCAGAGCCAGGGTAGGGTGTGCCTGAACTGTTGACCCTGGGAGCGTTGGCAGGGATTGGCGGAGATTTACAATTCACTACCCAGTCATTTGCCAGGCACTAAGAGACAGGGAGCCAAAGATACTTCATCGAGGAGGGGTCCGAGGGGTCAGACAAGATGGTAGTCTCGTGGATCCTGTGGCTAAAAGGCATCTAGTAGCGGACTAAGGGCCAACGGTGCCGGACTGGTGAACTGTATCAGCCCAACGTCGTACTCCGGAGATAATAACTGTATTCTGTTATTGTAATATTGGGAATATCCATGCCCCTTTGGATTCTGCAGCCGTGGGACAAACGGGCGGAAAAAACAGCATGCTGAGGTGGGATGTGCAGGAGGGAAGGGAAAACGTGTGGAAGAAGGGGGAGAAAAACCAAAAAACACAAAAAAAGGGCGGCCCGAGGCATCAAGCCAGGGATCTCTCGTGTTTTCCCAACTCCTCCCGGTTCCTGCATTTTCCCCTCGCGCATGTCTCATTCTAACTTCCGGAAAATATCCGAGTCGCCTCCATCGTACGAAATTATCTGAGACCTTGTTCCTAACTTCCTGTCTCCAGTCTTTTTACATTTTTCCCTCGTTAGTTTAATTGCTTGCTCCAGCGTGGGAGCGCACTTTGGGTGTCTAGATGAGTCCACGTCAGAATCCGAGATGAGAATGAGACGCCACGAGACTGGATGCAGTTAATTGCATCTCGTTAAACGAGCGAGATGCAATTAATGCCAATTTCGCAATCTCAGTAAGATTATCTTTGTCCCCCACCCGACTGGAAATCGCCCACACACCGGTTTCAGTCGATCAACGAGTCCTATGCAAGAACCGGGCGGATTTCTTCAAGTCCCGAAGCCTTCCAGTTGATAAGCTGATAACCTCGCTAGATCCCCGCAAAGGGATGATCGCAACTTGGGATGAAGTCATTCTCAGTCTTCTCTCGGGGATGATGTTCAACCTCCGTGTCGCTCATTTCTTGTTCCTGACTTGGTCGGTGGAGCCGCTCGGTCCCCTGGCCACTAAGAGAGGGACAAGGCCTACAAGTTTAATTGCGGTGTACCAAGGAAATTGGTCACAAAGAGGAGGGGGGGGGATAACCGACGACTACTACGGTGTAAAGAGAAAACGTGGGAAAAGCTCCGAGAAACGCCGCCGCCATCGGCCTGCAGTGTGACCAAGTCCGCTGCTGAACTGCTGAATACAGGAACTGCGCTCTCTTGACTTTCCAAAATGGAAGGTCGGCGCTACCATCGCCAAATGGTGCCCTATCAAATATAGACCAATGTGCCCCAGAGCAGGAATTTTCGGTGGCGTCCGAAACTAGCGCAGGTGTCTCTCGCTCTGATTGCTGACTTGCACCCTGCGATCAGTCATCCATCGGCTTGTGGAGATGGACTCAACGGAGGCCTAAGCTAAATGGCATTAACACGAACGGATTTTGTACGGAGTACGGAAGCCAAGAAGTCTTTGACCACTGTGGATTGTGAGACCTCGTCCACTGTCTAAGGCGCTGTCTTACCTCTGCTTAGAAGGCTCATCTTATCTATTTACAGTAACATCTTCGCTATATATGGATGTTTAAAGACTAACAACGGGTGAATGCTTGGAATTGGGATGCGATCGACCAACACCTGTTGGAGTTATGGTCGATGGACTCCAAGCCTGAAAATTGTGGTCAAACGATCCGGTCCGAGGCTCCCAAAGCCGCACTAGACTACCCGAGCATTCTAGTCGTCATGGCTATTGTCCACACAATCCACGGAACCAGAAGCAATAGTACTATCTCTTGAGTTTCCTGAACAGGAATGGCATACAGCG